TATAACTCTAATAGCGTAGTCTAAAGAATCTATCTTTATATGTATTTCTTTATTAAGGGTAAAGAAAGTAAGTACTAGTTCCGTAATAAAAGCCGCTTTAAGTGCCTTAAACGCTTTTTATACGCTATTAGACTAATGGAATTCCTTATCCTTATAAGTTAACTCCGTAAGTAACCTAGCGATTTTCAAGTAGTTTTTAATAAATCACTTATAGAAATTAGTAAACCCGAGGAATAACTATACTTCCTTAATATTTATAAGCCCTATTTACTTAATAATTACTTTAATCTTTTTAGGATCTATAACTAATCTTATAGTAGTAATTATATAGCCTAGGAAGATAACCTTATTTATATAGAAATTATACTTTTCTAATTTAAGTAATAAGTAAGTATTCTCTAGCCTTTAGAGAATAGCTATAATATCCTTTATATATTACTTCTCTGATTTAAAGTAGACTAGTATATTATCTAAATAGTATATATATATTATATCTAAGTAAGGCTATAAAATGTTATTAATTAAACACTGAAATATAGCTAGTATATTAGTTAAGCTAAAGGGTATAACTATATACTTATAGTAACTAAAACAAGTGTGAAATACTATTTTTTCTTCTTTACTCTTAGCTATTCTAATAAAGTTATACGCTTCTTATAAGTTAAGCTAAGTGAAAATCTTAGCTCTAATAAGTCTGTCTTATAGCTCTTTAGCTAATAGTAGTATATAATAATCCTTCTTTATAGTATTATTTAATCGATAGTAGTTAATATATATTTGTTATCCTTTATCTTTCTTCTTTATAAATAAGACGTTACTCCCTTATAGAGATTTAGACTCTTAGATAAATCCCTTCGCTAGGTTTTTATTAATATATTACTTAATTATTATTAAGTTTATTACCGAATATTCCTTAAGTAGTTAGAATATTAGTTTAGTACCTAGTTCTAACTTAATCTAATAATCGTAGTCCTAGTGTTTTAGTAAGGCCTTAATACCTTATTTCTCTTTAAATAGTGCTATAAACTTCTTATATACTAATAGTATATCCTTTATTAGTAGACCCTTATTTTAGTATCTAAGCTCTTTCTTAAAGGTAGCGCTAACTTCTCGAATACTTACTACTTCTATTCCTAGTAGATAATAGTAGTCTTAGTAATAATTAAACTTAAACTTTCTTATCTACTAATTAATAATAAAGTTATACTTTTCTATCTATAGTAACCTTAGGATAATATTATACCTTCTAATCCTAATAATATCGAACTAGATTATTTTAGAGTGCCTAGTGATACTTATATAAACTAGAGTAATCTAGATCTTAATTAGTTTATTAGAGGTAACTTTACTATCCGCTAGTACTAGATAGTATCCCTTATCTTTTACTTTAGTTAATAAGTAGTGCTTAAGTATAATAGTAGGAGATATAAAGTTCCCTTATACCCTAGAGTCTACTATTACTTAAAGCTTAACTCCTTTAATTTTAACCTCTAACGTAAGGTATTTATCTCTAATAGCGGTAAGTTATTATATATAGAAATATTCCTAATATATATTATAGTTAAGGACACTTTCCTATACCCTTCGATTACTATAGCTTAAGCTAACCTTATATATAAGCTCTATTCCGAGTTTAGTGTATATTACTAAGTTATATATCTCGTAATAGTACTAGCTATTATTATTAATATAGACTTATATCCTATTATATCAGTTCTTAGCTATAATTTCCTATTTCTTACTTACCTCTGGTAGCACGCTAGTACTAAGAATAATAGTATTCTAGAGTAGTAAGTACTATATAAAGGTTATTAGTCCCTCCTAGCTACTAGCTATCCTCTATCTAATACACTTATAGTCCCGGTAGATTACTTTATACTTTACCTCCTATAGTAGACTCTCTAAGCTAATAAGGCCCGGCTCTTAATAAGTAACCCCGGTAGCTATATTAGTCTAATAGTAAGTATTATAGCTGACCTAATATAAGCTTTCTTCCCTTTAGGTAACTTCCTAAATTTCACTTACTCTTAGTCCTAAGAGTTTAAGTTAAGGTAGCCCTAGTTCTAGAGTTTACTCAGGTTCCTAGGCCTCTTCCTCGCTATTACTTAGTATTAGCTCTATATTATTATCTAGCCTAGAGCTATTATTATCTCGATATATATAGTCCTTAGGGGGTATACTAATAATAGTTTACTTAAGCTAATCTATAACACTCGCGGAATCTCGCTTATTATTATCAGAATCGCCTAACTAAGTATAGATATAATTCTCCTCGAGCTCGTTTATAGTTATATATTAATATATCGCAGTGAGTTATCATATTAGTTTATTATAAGAGCCTTATCTTATTACATTAGTATACTTCTTACCTATCTAAGACTTCTTTTAATAATAAGAGCTAGCTATATAACTAGGGAAGCTATATTTAAAGTATAACTTCTTCTTATATTATTTATCTATAACTTTCTTAGATAGCCCGCTATTATATAGCTTTCCTTAATAACTTATCTTCCGGAATATCATATTAAGTTCTATTTCCTAAAAGTAGAATAGTTTCTTATTATTACCCCCTCTTCCTTAGTATATATATATTCCAGAGTAGTATTAGTCTTTTTTCTTAAGTGCCCTCTTATAATTTTAGTTATCGATCTTAATAGCTATCTTAATAAGTTCTTATAAGTTAGTAGATATATCTAATCTTACTATTTTATCTTTTACTCTATCTTTTAACCCTTTATAGTACTATACCCGAAGGGCGTTATTATTCTAGCTAGTCTAATTCGCGAATTACTAGAAAGTAGTAGTATATATAGTCGCTAACTTGACTTACTTTAAGTTCTAGATATTCTGTTTAGTAGTATAGTTCTAATTAATATTACTAAAAACATAGTTAATCTTATACTTAAAACCTTTAAAGGTTATAAAGATCTTCTAGGATTCCTTAGTTATTACTATAAAGACTCTCTTATCCTTAGTTTAGTTCTAAATATAATCCGAGAGAAAGGTCTTAATCTAGTTAAAAGTAAATCCCCGGAGAAAGGATAAAGCTTAAAGGACTTTATTAGTTTCTATAGTAAACTAGTAACTATTAAAGCCTATATAGAGCTTAACCTACGTGAGGTATACTTTAAGCTTAGATTAGTCTCTATTATAAAGATCTAGAGTAGCGATCTTAAGTATATTCTTTAGGTTAAAGACTTTAGTAGGAGCTAAGTAGTTATTTAATAATCCTTTAATAAAGGATATATTATCTTCGTAAGTTAGTACCTCTAATAAGAAGGTACTTAAAGTATAATAGTCCGGTATTTACTCGCTATAAATACAGAAAGCTATAGTTAATCTCTAATAATTAAGAGGTAAGTATATTATATAGATAAGAAAATAGTTACTAAGTATTAGAATACTATTTAAAGTTAAGCACGAAGCTCTTATCTAATAGTAGACGTACTAGTCTTATATAGAACTTTCGTTCGCCTTAGATCCCTTAAGATACTAGATCCTTAGATCCTTAGATCTATTTTCCTATAAAGGGATCTAAGGATCTAGGGATCTATTACGTGACCTATTATCTACTATGATCTTAGTAACTATTACTACTGAAGTATAAGTGTACTATAGTACTACTCGCTTATCCTGTATTATTCCCTAGCTAGTACTACCCTATCGATAATCCTGTTCCCTCGTTAGTACTAATGCCCCTATAGTACTACTGATAGTTTTATTATCATATAGGTGCTAACTGAACCGTAGCGCCAAGGGGTCCGTAACAGTCTATAGTAAAAGTCGGTGAGTCGGCGTTATTTACCGAAGAATCACGCTAAACTGAAGAATGGCTTATAATTTGAACAGAATAAAACAGAACTAGGCAGTTAGTAATAATTCTGGAGACACCGAAATGATTCGGAAAATGCCGGTTTAGATCATGTCTTATGCTGATGGAATTGGGTAAAAGGAGGCACTAGAGAGCGCCATATCTTTAGGGACGTTCTCCCCAACTCAGCCTTACCACCAGATGGGTTGCTGGGGTAGGATGGACAAGGTCCTGTCATTGGTCCGTTTTGCAGCCACCGACATCCCTTCTTACATCAACCTAAACCCCCGCTTCAAACTGATACATCCTTAGGAATCAACACACAGAACTCCCTTCGCCATTCGGTCAAGATAGCACCGCCATCCTCTCACCGGCTATTCGTCTCGAGAAGAATGCAGAAACCTGATTCTTCCCACGATTCGGCAGTCTATTACCAGTGCGTAGCCAACAAGAATCCCGCTACCAATCTGTGTGTTTGCCTTGTCCAAGGCGCACTGCGTCTATAAAGTGCACTTTTATATGCACTTTTGTTACCAAAGGGCATTTACTACCCTGGTAATAACATTACATTCCGAGCTCTCCCGATTGAACAATAGCCGACGACTAGGAAGCTCCAAAGTGCACTTTGCTGTCCTAGACGCGTGGAAGCGACTCAAGTTCGCTGCAAGAGCACTAGCTATCCAATCGTCTGCCTTCGACTGTCAAATTTATGATATGTTCTCTTGCTCTGACGATAGTCTTGTCATCGGGCCGGATGGTGAAAGCTCCCAGTGGACTGTAGAGGACACAGTGTTGACCTCAGCCTCCTCCATACTGCCCACGATGAAACCTGGTGCAGAAGGGCAGAATCAGGATCGTGAGATCTTTGCAGACCGGTCAAAATGAGCCGCCGAGAGTATGGCTACATAATCCGCCACAACCCGTCTATTTCGCTGCATCTCTTTGCAACATTTCCTCCCTCGTTATCTCTTCTCTCTGGAAGTGTATCAAAGGTTGCATCACACGTTCCTGCAGTTGTCGTTCAAGCATCAGTCCCAAACAAATCAAGTAAGAAAGACCGAGAAACCTCTACATTCAAGCCCCCTCGAGTCCTGGAGAGTAAAGGGTTCTCATAGCTGGACATTCTTCAGTACTCTCGGTTTACTTCAAGGCAAAGTCTGGATCGTGCTCCTTGACATTTTCTTTAGCTATGGCGTCGGAAGATGGCAGATCGCTTACTCCAGCCTCCAACCTTCCACCTCATTCGACACAGCTTTCGTTTACAGTGGAAGAACTGTCCCACGAGATAGAGCAGGTTCTTATGTCTGAGAAAGGATCCGATGAAAATCCTAGTAGACATGTCAAAGTCGAGATGAGTCCGTCTATCTACGTAACTGTTCATCAGATATCTGAAGGACACGCCTCGTATGGTGTGACGACCATGCCATGTCAGGATAAGGATATGGAGCTGATGGAGGCGGAACCTCACGATGGGGATAGCATTGTCATCGCATCTAAGTCAGAATATAACAAAACAACTCACCAAGGCGCAGAGTTCGATAAAACCGATGAATTACTTCTCGAGGAAAGTGAAGGAGACTTCTGGACGGATGCGTGTCTGGACACTGAATATTACTATTCTTCATATAAAGACCTACTCGCATGCAATGGTATGTCCTTCACTCTCTCAGATCTTGAAGTAAAGCTGATTGTATCTACAGGCAGCTTCACACTTCCTCTGGACAACCTGATTGGCTTCATTGACGGAGAGACATGGTTGACGACAGCGACTATCTGTGACGAAGATCAAGATGCTTTGCATGCAGCTTTGGCAGAGACTTCTTGGATTTAAAGGCTTGAAACTTAGATACTCAGCAGCCTAGTGATGGTGTTTTGTATGGGGGACTTCACCTTTGAATGAACAGCAGCAGACCGTTTCCAATGGTGTATCTCATCTGAAATCTCGGCAAACAGTCTACAGTCTCTGCCACAATAACAGTTCGATATTAATGTTAACACACCAACCTACTCTCGATCATAGATTAATTCCTTGGGATAGAGAATGAATATATCGAGACCAATTTGATGGAATAAAAAAAAGAAAGAGTTGTGTGAGCATTTGCAGAAGGACGACGTCCAGGAGGGGTAAATGTACACCTGACTGCCTGTGTGGCTAAGCTGCAGAGATATGGATGCGTGATTATATACCAAGCATGACTGGTCACATCGAAAAGAGAGGTGGCTTGAAAGTGAAGTGCTTTCGAAGTTGTAATGCTATATGGTGTTGGAGGAAAGTTCAGTGGGAAAGGGGGAGGCATTTAGTGATGTGCTGAACACTGAGCTGAATGTTTCTAGCTTTGAGACAGTTGCAAGAGTAAAGGACATGGTTTCAGAATTCTGAGCGAGTTGTTGATTTTCATGTACGCAAACGCTTCATAGGAAATGGTGCCAGGGTGAGGTTCCTATTTTTCGTTCAGGAAGCCTAAGCTAATGAGTGGCAGAGCTCTCGCTAAGTGGCAAACAGAGGCAAGTCAAACTGACGTCCAGCACATTCTGGCTCATCTAAAAGAAAGCTTCAGGTTTTAAGTAAACATTACCAGGTTGCTGCTATCCTAGTAAAATAATTAACCTCATCAACCTTTTTACTGTACAGACCTGAAAATAGAGGAAGCCTTGGTCAATGATTCATAGATTCACCTTATTGCCACTGGATATCTGACAAATCCTTTGCAAAAGGCCAACAAGGCGCACCTTTGTTGTGTTCTTTATTTTTCCAACGTGTGGCTGTGACGTGGTTGTCTGATTCATCCATCGCATCGCGTCGCAACGAACAAACTCGATTCAACCAACAAGCCTCGGCGCGCCTTCTTGTCTTGAACGCCCCTCCATCTCCCACAACAGAACACTTCCAGACGTCGCAGGCAACGTAAGTCTTCAAGATGTTGAAGATCTGGTCTATGGTAAGTGGTTTGACATTCTCTGCGCAAGTGCCTCACCCGCTTGTGCCATCCAGAAACTGTTGATCTTGCGCTGATAACTATACAGAAGCAGAAGCAGCAGCAAGATGCGAACGCAGATGCTGCTGCAGGTAACAAGAGGAAGAAGGTAACAGCTGCGCAACTTCGAGTGCAGAAAGGTATTGCCCATCCAAGAAATCTATATCGATGCACCTCATACTGATCGTGTGCCTAGATCTATCCGAACTCTCCTTACCTAGCACCATGAAGACCGATTTCCCAGACCCCGACGATACCCTTAACTTCACACTCACTATTGAACCGGACGAGGGCATGTACAAAGGTGGCAGATTTCATTTCACATTTGCAATCAGCCAGGGCTTTCCCCATGAGGCGCCGAAGGTTAAATGCACACAGAAGATTTATCACCCCAACATTGACCTGGAGGGGAATGTCTGCCTGAATATTTTGCGAGAGGACTGGAAGCCGGTTCTGAATCTGCAATCCGTGGTCGTTGGTCTTCAGGTATGTGACTCCCAGCCCTAAGGGCGTATTGAAGGTATACTTGCTAAATGGGTCTACAGTTCCTCTTCCTAGAGCCCAACGCCTCGGACCCCTTGAACAAAGAAGCCGCAGAGGACTTACGGTCCAACAGAGAAGGATTCAAGCGCAACGTTCGATCGGCTATGGGAGGCGGAGCTGTCAAGAACCAGTCCTTCGACAGAGTCTTGAAGGTGTAGGGACGGTATCAGGGCGGGCCATGGAGGACACAGGCATTCATCTACATCTAGACACTGCACGTCTTGATGAGCGAGCATTCTTTGGGCATATTGAGGCGTTCATATTTGGAGGCCTGGGAGTAAATACAGGTTGTCTCGTGCGTTTCTGAAGCGTAGATAGTATACAGCCATTCTGAATCAGAGGGCTCTTTTTGAAGGCGATTTCATTTTATATGTATGAATTCACGCTCTATAAACCGAATCGACGCTCCAAGCTGTCCTTGCAACATACACATTTACATAAATCCATAATTAGCTGCCTCTGAAGATTTTCATCTCCATATAATATCCCTACCCATATAAATACCCCTCGTTATGGATCTCCTCGTAATCGCCTGGGCTCTCCACAATCTGCACAGCTGGCACAGGCCAAGCCCAGACTTGCTCTCCACTCGGCTTGGTTCCGTTGTCGGAAGAGCTCGAAATTTTGCTAAAGAGTCATTCCTCAAAACACAAACAACCTGCACCTTCTTCTCTCTCTTCACCACAACTCCACTCAATCATACAAAATGGCCTCCCGCACATTCTCCAGAGCTCTTCGCTCCCCATTGGCAAAGCAATTAAGTGCTCCAGCCCGTCGCACCTTCGTTTCTGCCCTCAATGCCTCTGCCAGACCTACTGCTGCCCGCGCAGCTGTTGCGTCTGCTCAGCAGGTCAGAGGTGTAAAGACCATTGATTTTGCCGGTGTTAAGGAGGATGTCTACGGTATGCATTGTCCAGTTTGCCTTTAGATTCAGACGCTGACAATTTCTCCAGAGAGAGCTGACTGGCCTCCTGCCAAACTCCAAGTTTGTTTCACCTCACACCGCACATTCGAACTATATACTGATTTCTGAGTAGGAGTTCTTCAAGAACGACACAATGGCAATTATCGGATACGGCTCCCAGGGCCACGCGCAGTCCTTGAACATGCGTGATCAAGGTCTTAACGTCGTGGTCGGTGTACGAAAGAACGGACAATCGTGGAAGGATGCTCAACAAGATGGCTGGGTTCCTGGAAAGACTCTCTTCGAGGTCGACGAGGCTATCTCCAAGGGTACCATCATCATGAACTTGCTTTCTGATGCTGCCCAAAGCGAGACCTGGCCAGCAATCAAGCCCCAGATCACCAAGGGAAAGGTGCGCTGCGTCGAACAAAGTTTAATTGGCCCAAGCTGACTCAATCAGACCCTCTACTTCTCTCACGGTTTCTCCCCAGTGTTCAAGGACCAAACCAAGGTCGATGTTCCAACTGATGTCGATGTCATCCTCGTTGCTCCCAAGGGATCCGGCCGTACCGTCCGAACTCTCTTCCGCGAGGGACGTGGTATCAACTCCTCCATCGCCGTCTTCCAAGATGTTACCGGCAAGGCCAAGGAGAAGGCAATTGCTCTCGGTGTCGGTGTTGGCAGTGGTTACCTCTACGAGACCACCTTCGAGAAGGAGGTCTACTCCGACTTGTACGGTGAGCGTGGTTGCTTGATGGGCGGTATCCACGGTATGTTCCTTGCACAATACGAGGTTCTCCGTGAGCAAGGCCACAGCCCCAGCGAGGCTTTCAACGAGACCGTCGAGGAGGCTACTCAATCTTTGTACCCATTGATTGGCGCAAACGGCATGGACTGGATGTACGAGGCCTGCTCTACCACCGCCCGTCGTGGTGCCATTGACTGGAGCGGAAAGTTCAAGGATGCTTTGAAGCCAGTCTTCAATGATCTGTATGACTCTGTGAAGACCGGAAAGGAGACCGAGCGATCCCTTACTTTCAACTCCCAACCCGATTACCGTGAGAAGTATGAGGCAGAGATGAAGGAGATCCGTGATTTGGAGATCTGGAGAGCAGGAAAGGCCGTTCGGTAAGAATCAACATTGTCATTGCGTTTATCCAAAGCTAACTCATATAGCTCCCTCCGCCCCGAAAACCAGAAGTAAAGTTGATATTTGCGCGACACATGGGGCTGGTATTTTTTTTCTGACATGGGCGTGGAACTCTGGCGAACTGTACAATACTCTCCTGCTACGGAGATTTATGGTCTCTGGAATTGCGAAAAGTTTATTATACCTACTTGCAAGCATTGTTCTAACTGCTCTTCAATTGCGATGACACCAATTTCTTGTTGGCCGTGTATGCTTGCTCATTTTCTATCCGTAACCGGGACACATTTCCCCGAGTCCCAAGGGACTAAGTGGATACTGACATGAAGCTTCTAGATTTATCTGCTTCTTAGTATACTGTCTCACTTACACTCAACACTACATACTTCACATATTTTACTTCTCAAGTCCTACCTTAAAAGTCACTTCCTTTACACCAGTTCTAATACTAATAAGATGGCTGACCCCACCAAATCCCCACCACTAACACGGCCCTCCGTCATCGCCGCCCATGGTCTCATTCGAGAGCACATCCACTATACACCAGTCCTCACAAACACAACACTCAATGACCTCGCATCAACACCTCAATCCGCTGCCGCTCTAGCAGATACGCCATGGGCAGGTCAGACGCCAGCGAACTCGAAGCTGCGCTTCTACTTCAAATGTGAGAACCTGCAAAAGGTCGGCGCCTTCAAGGTGCGGGGTGCGTTCCATGCCTTGAAGAGGTTGATGGCTGAGGAGGGCTGGGAGCAAGGCGGCGGTAGGGAGAAGGGTGTTGTTACACATAGTTCTGGTAGGATTTCTTTCAGTCCGTCTGCTGTATTAGTCACTCGAGTGTGCGACAATGACTGCTCAGACATACTTAAACAGAAGACCAATTGACTAATAGACCCTCCACAGGAAACCATGCCCAAGCTCTCGCACTCGCCGCCCGAACCATGGGCATCCCGGCTCACATTGTAATGCCTACAATTTCTACTCCCTCCAAAATAGCAGCTACAAAAGGCTACGGCGCAAAAGTGATATTCAGCGGGAGCACAAGCACAGAGCGTGAAGCAGTAGTTGCAGAGGTAGTGAAAGACACAGGGGCACGCTTGGTCCCTCCATACGACCACCCGGATATCATGCTCGGCCAAGGAACACTGGGTATAGAGCTACAAGAGCAAGCCGAAAAGATCATTGCTGCAGAGGCAGGCAAATCAGGAAAAGGTCTCAATGCAATTATTGCCCCTTGCGGAGGTGGTGGCATGCTATCCGGCACAGCACTCAGTTGCGAAGGAACAGGCATATTCGTCTTTGGCGCCGAACCCGGATTCCAAGGCGGCGACGACTGTAAACGTGGCTTGGAGCAAGGGAAGCGCATCGAGACTGTCAAGACCCTCACCATCGCCGACGGACTTCGCACGCCGGTAGGAGCATACCCCTGGACAGTCATCCATGATCGCAAACTGGTCAGGCAGATATTTAGTGTGACGGAGGAGCAGATTAAGAGGGCACTGAGGCTGGTGCTTGAGAGAATGAAGGTCTTTGTGGAACCGAGTGCGGTGGTTGGGCTGGCAGTTGCGTTGTATAATGAGGACTTCAGGAGGTTGGTTGAGAAAGAAGGGGGTGCGGAGGGGTGGGATTTGGGGGTTGTGTTTAGTGGGGGGAATACCAGTGTGGAGTTTCTATCGAAGCTGTATGCTGTCAGTGAGACTGAGGCGGAGAGGCAGGGTGGAGTGGTTGGCATGGATGGGAAGAAGACTGTAGAGAATGTCGCTGGGTGAATTCATTGCTAGACTAATATCGAAGTCAACTTGATACGTTCTCAAAAGTTTACCGGTTTGAGATTGGATGACTCAAGAGTCACATCTTGGCTTTCAAGGCAACATGATGCGTGTGTGGACGATAACCAACTCTTGAGCAGACACTAGCTAAGCGCACAGTGAACTATACCTTAATAATACAGTGCACAGTAATTGTGGACTAAATTCACAGTAAATGAGCAATGTTCATGTAGGAAATAGACCGCATCTGTTTGTTGACATGCCTTTCGCTTAGCAACACTTTTCATCCAGCCTCGTTGTCTATCCGGACAAGTACACGTAACCTTTCCCCAAGAATGATCTTCATCCGTCCAAATCAGGGGCATTCACCTTAAGTATATCTCCTGGTGACCCTTACGAGAAAATCATCATTCGGATTCGATATCCCTGCAGCACCAGCATGCTCCTTAGGTTCCTCAGGTACCTTCCACCGCATTTCTGCTTCTGATCCCGACTCGAACTTCTCACTGACAGGTTCAATGCTATAGTCTCTCAACACCGTCGCAATGAAGAGAACTACAACTTGCTTGGCAATAAATCGCCCGGGACAGTGCATATGCCCACCACCAAATGGATAGAATCCCTTAGGGGTTTTGAAACCCTCCTTCAGCCATCGCTGTTCATCAAAATCCTGCGCATCGTCACCCCAAATGAGTGGCGAGAGGTGTACGAATGAAAATGGACCTATCAAACGGTCACCTATGTTGATTGTCTTGTCTCCAATTACAGCAGGTGACTCGCAAGTGCGGACGACCGAGGAGCTCGTGTAAAGCCTGAGGGCTTCGTGCCACGTCGCTGTGAGAGCCGGACAGTTGTTCATGAGGTGGCTAATGGAGAAACTTTTTGTGGTTGGATCAAAAGCCAGGTTTGTTTCCTCACGTATCTTTTGAGTTAATACTGGCGAGCAGAGGATATGCGCCAGTGCCCAGAACAGTAGCCGTGGCGGGTTGAGGTGGATACCCCACAGCATAACAATAGCAGCTGCTCCAGCATCGTGAGCTGTTAAACCTATCTTCCGTTGATTGGATTGCATAGTATCGAAAAGCCAATTGAGGTTTGGACGGTGTATCGGATCGAAAGCGAAGTACTTCATCAAGACTTGTACCAAGACTTCCTCAGCCTCCAACATGTCTTTCGACAAGATCTTCGGGTGACCATAAGGTATTTTCCAGCTGAGATCTTCCCAGTCGAGATAGTGCTGTACGAAATCCGGATCGATATCAAAAATCTTCGGGCCTAAGAAAGCCTTCGTTCCTGCGCCTGCGAGCACGTATCTTCCCCTTTTGAAGAGGCTGATCAATTCGCCCAAGTTCTTGGATCCTGTGGCAGCGACTCGTGGATGGGCGAGAAATATAGGCACAAGCCCCTTAATATTCTCTCTAAAGAGCTCAGAAGCAGCTTCCATTTTCGGTCCAGGCTGCAAGGCTTCCTTCATCCAGTTTTCCTGTAGACTGACCAATCGCCGTTTGGCAGGATTCTCCTTGACAAAGTGCGGAGCATCGCTATCACTGCCCTTCCATAGCTTGGCGGGATTCTCTTCAAATGCTAGGCTATAATGCGAAGGTGAGATCCCAAGTCCTTTGACGATGCCTATCATGTACTCGTCGAAGGTGAAAGATTTTGGGTCGTTCCATATGGTTTTAATGTCGTTAGGAGATCTGATTACGATGACTTTCTTTCCGCTGATGAGCAGCGCGAACGGAAAATGCCCAGGGAAGTACTTGCTAATGTGGTCATAAATATACATCTTTCTCGATTTGGAGGCAAATAAAGGATATGTTGACTCACTTGCCGTCTTCTAAGAGTTGCACACGATTCCAAAGCCACGACAGAGTATGACCAATGACGGGAAGTGCATATGGCAGTACCAGAGGGTTATGAGGCCGTAGCTTGGGTATGACAGTGAAGGCCCACATACGCCACGAAATCCAGAGTACTAGAATACCAATTGCCAGTGACTTCACGTCGAGTGCTTTTAGGGAGAAGTAAAATTGTGCCAGACTGGTGTTGAGACTTTGAGCCAACATATTGAAGGATCAGTGGGTGATCGAAATTAGTGTGAATACGATGACTTAGAGAGTAAGTGATATAAATGGCACGACCATATATCCTCTGGTACAAGCGATTGAGCCTGTTTTCGATTATTTGCTCCAGTCAGAGGCTTGAGAAACACGAGGAATGTTGTAGGTGAGATTTTGTTGTCCTTTCGTCCCGTACCTTACCATTGTTTGCAGTGTAACAACTATCCCAGTCATGAGCCATCACATACACCCTTGTACTCAAGTAGAATCACATAATTCGAGTGCTTCTTACACATTTGCGTTCCCGCTCCGTTCAAACCAACACTGCCAAGGGCCTGGAACGGCTTGTAGTGTTGGAGCTCCATTTGTGTCGCGCGTTGGTATTGTTCCAGGGTCCACAAAGAATTTGAATGTTGGCAAGGCTGAAGCAAAAGAAAATGGGAGCCCCAACTTGACAGAAGTCCGCATTCCTGGAATTATTGTCATGTTCGGGCTGTAGAGGGTGCCTTCCATCTTCGGTGGCATTTACAGGGTTATGATACAAGCCATTGAGCTGGCTGCAACCCTGAAGAGCGGCGGAATTTTGGGGATGGAATGCAGAAGTGAATGATATTTTCATATTTTCAGTTTTAATAAGTGAAGCTACCGTCATCTTTCCTTTCATATGGTCAAGTTCGGCTCCACAGCCACTAATCGCTCGTCACCCACACTTTCAATCACAAACACCATGATGCTATTCCCATTCACTTCTTCGCTTATTTCACTAGCTCATAACATTCCTACTTCTCCGAGTTCAAATACTCTATATAACGTCTTACGGTCTCCCAGAAGTTCTCTCTTCAATTACCACAGACCACCGCCACCGCCACCACATTGTCGGACGTGGACTGGAGAGCCTTTGGCACTGGTTCGACCAGACCATAGTTCTGAGAATGGCCAACAGAGTCCGGTTAATTCCACAATGAAAAGGACATATCTAACTCAACAGTCGGCTCCATTATCGTCCAGTGCTTGGACGGGTTTTCGTCAATACTCTACCGATCGGCTGAAAGCCGGACGTAAGCCACACTAGACGTACTGTACGCCTCGTCTTCACGTTTCAAATAAGCCATAGATTCATTAATTTTAGCACGTATTCAATGCAATTGTCTGAATATCTTGGGCCAGAAATTGATCAAGAGTTTCGAGTAGAGATGGGACGATGCCTGCGATTGTTTACATGGTACTCGCTTAGCTTCTGCGTGGCGACTAAGTGGCCCCTCAAGATAGTAACAGAGACCAAACTTCGCTGCCCCTTTTTCTGTAACCTTAGTCAACTTCTATGGTTGATAAATTCCATCAGATCACAATTATTGCCAACTATATCTTACTCTCGGATCTCCGGATGAGCACGGGCTTGGACCGTACTATCGTACGAGAATGGATGAGCTGAGAAAGTCTACACGATACAGACTTTAGATTATCATTTTGATCCAATTGATTGTCTCTATACTTCATTTCTGGGACAAGAATCACCCCGATCGCGATTTCATCCCCATCCATGCTGGTCCATCTGCACGCCATCGGACCAGCTCGCTTCGCTCGCCAAAGCACACTGCTGAATCAGCACCAGCACTCCACCAAACCCGCACCCACGCCATGCCAAAACCCATGATCGCCGAAAACCTGTTCTATTCTTCTCCGAATCCCATTCGCATCGGCCATAACATTCATACTGGGGTGGCATGACGACGGGTCGCACAAGCGTGCTATTTGCTGTTTGCGTTCGATATTTTGGCTTTGTAAGCTGGATTTCCTTACCTTGCGTGCTGGGCTTGTCAATTTGGACATGGACCCAGCTACTACTCGGGAACGGCCGCATATCTTCCTGCATTTTGTTCTGTTCTTCTGATTTTGACTTGTCGGCGATAGCTGGGATCCATGATGTCCGTGTCCGATTTCGAGCGAAGCATGGCGAGGGGTCGTGGAAGAAAGTTTGGGGAAGATACTGCAGTGGATTGAACTATGACGGCGTTATAAGGTTCGAGTGGAGTGGAATTTTCTTGGGTTCCACTGTATCGACTCTTAAAAGTATATATGTCGGAGAAGTCTCCTCCAAAGCTGCTCGTTCAGAACACAGCATTACCTCATATCAGTATTACATCTAGCTACTCATTCAAGCAATTCCTACATAACTTTTGTATCGTTTTTATCTTTTCAAGAAATATAATCTTGCATCAACTCTGCAACCTCATAACATTATCCATAATGCCATCCTCTCACACACAACAAGGCCCTAAAACCGGCACCGGCAAAACCGTACTCATCACAGGTGGTTCTGGCTATGTCGCAGCTCACGTCCTCAACTCTTTCCTTTCACGAGGGTACCATGTCCGTACCACAGTTCGCAGTCAATCCTCTGCAGAAAAAATCAAGCAGTCACACAAGAAATACATCGATCAGCTATCTTTCGCCATCGTGGAAGATGTGGCGACTCCGGGTGCTCACGATGAAGCTGTAAAGGGTGTAGACGGTGTGATACATACCGCTTCTCCTTTCGTAAGTACTTACTTTTGCTTCGCCATCCTCTATCAGTCTCAACCCCTCTCCTTCTCGCCTCTTTGCTACCTCGCTATCGTAACCGAAATCCATGACACGTCAAGTCAACAAAACAAACCACTTACTGACATCCAACCCAGCAAATGACCGTCACCTCCAACAAAACCGACCTCCTCGACCCCGCCATAAACGGCACCCTCTCCCTCCTAACCTCCATCCAAGCCCACAATCCGCACATCAAGCGCGTCCTCATCACCTCCTCTTTCGCCGCCATCCTCGACCTCAGCCTCGGTACCCGCCCAGGCTACACTTACACCGAATCCGACTGGAACCCCATCAGCTACACCGAAGCCGCTGATCAAAAGACCCCCGGCCCAGTAGCCTACTGCGCATCCAAGACATTCGCCGAGCGCGCAGCTTTTGATTTCGTGAAGGAGAAGAAGCCCAATTTCGAAATCACGTCCGTGTGTCCACCGATGGTGTACGGTCCCGCAGCACACACCGTGTCCAGCCTTTCGAATCTGAATACCTCATCAGCAGATATCTACAGACTGATGAACGGGTCTACAAAGTCAGTGCCAGAAACTTCATTCTATGCATTCGTAGATGTCCGTGATCTTGGAGAGGCGCATGTCCTCGCTTATGAGAGTGAGAAGGCAGCTGGACAGAGGTATCTGATTGCGAGTGGCGGGTATACGTATCAGCAGGTGTGCGATGTTATTAGGAAGGGATTTCCGGAGAAGAGAGAGTTGGTTCCTGAAGGGGAGGAGGGTAGTGCGTTCCCTGATGTTTATGGTATTGATAATGGGAAGGTGAGGAGAGAGTTGGGATTGGAGTTTAGGGGGTTGGAGGAGTCGATTGGGGATATGGTGAGGGAGTTTATTGAGATTGAGAAGCGGGTTGGTGCCTAATCGTTGGGCTCAGAAGGCTGTATGTATTAATTATTTGTACCTCCATTGAAGCGATTCGTGTTTGTCGTGTTTGTTCTGCACACTGCCTTTCTCCCACTCTTAAAAAAGTGGTATCTTTGAGTGGTTCGTCAATCGTTCATTCTATCCCTGAGTTAATCAAGGCTCGATATCTTCATAGAGATGTGTAGACTTTTAGGCCAAATTTCTCATAAACGCCGCTGTTGAAAGATGCAATGCCTGCACGTTGAATGTGCTCCCCGGTACTTCCCCTTCGCCAATGCTGTTAAGAGCCGCAATATGATCAACGCCAAACCCAGGAAGTTCTATAGATGACTAGGGAAACTAGAGCTATTCCTCATCGTCTAGAATAGCCCGTCGATCTCGCCGGTCTCCGTGTCCACATCAACGTTGAGGTATCCGGGAGCTGTTGGAAGACCTGGGATGGTCTGGATATCGGCAGCTAGGGCATACCTACTTGATGTTAGTACTTATTCGTGACTGGTTAGATGTCAACCTACAGATATCCTGCTCCGGCCGCCAGCCTCACGTCTCTGATTGGGACAGTGAAGCCAGTTGGCGCACCCTTAAGATTAGGGTCATGGGACAAAGAGTATTGCGTCTTAGCAATACAGATTGGCAAGTTGCCAAAACCTTGCTTGGTGTAGGTATCAACTTTCTTCTGGGCAACCTCACTGAACTCAACCTTATCTGCTCCATACATCTGCTTGCCAATCGCCTCAATACGTGTCTGAACATCGCCGTCCAGGCTGTACAGAAGCTTGAAGTTGTTCTCCTTCTCACTGGCAGCAATAACACCGTTGGCGATGTCAACGGCACCCTTTCCACCCTCGGCCCAGTGGTTAGCTGGGATGGCATCTTCAGCACCGGCGGCAATCGATTCCTGGCGGATGACTTCGATTTCGGCATCGGTGTCAGTCTCAAACTTGTTGATGGCAACAACCACAGGAACACCGTATGTCTTAGCGTTCGATATATGCTTCTTGAGGTTGACACATCCTGCGCGGAGAATCTCAATATTCTCTTCACGGTAGACCTTGTCGAGCGCAGCTCCAGGGGCAATAGGAGGACCACCTCCATGCACCTTCAGAGCTCGGACCGTGGCGACAATGACAACAACGTCAGGCACCAGACCGGATGATCGGCACTTGATGTTGAAGAACCTCTCACCTCCCATGGTAAAATCAAACCCAGCTTCAGTGATGACGAAACCGGCCTTCTCATTGTGGTTCTCATCCGGCTCGGTACCAGCAAGCTTCAGTGCAAGCTTGTCGGCTAGAACTGAACTGGCTCCAATACTGATGTTTGCGAATGGTCCAGCGTGGACGAACACCGGGGTACCTTCCAATGTCTGCATAATATTGGGCTTGATAGCATCCTTCATCAAAGCAGTAAGAGCACCACCAGCACCAATATCATCGCAGGTGACGGGGTCACCAGCTTTGGAAGAACCAATGACCATCCTACCGAGACGTTCTCTCATGTCATTTAGATCACTGCTCAAGGCGAGAATAGCCATACATTCACTGGCAACGGAAATATCAAATCCCGTCTGCCGAGTCTGTCCCTTCTCGGTGGCAGCAGTACCAACAGTGATTCCCCTCAAGTGACGGTCATTGACATCCAACACACGTCTCCACGTGATTGTGGATGGATCGATATCCAATCTGGCAAATCGATGGATTTCATCCTCCGTAAGCTCATTTGGGTCGGTCTTGGTGATACCAAGCTTCTTGAGACGGCGGAACATGATGGGTTGGAACTCACGCTTGCCCTTCTTTGCTGGGACAAGACGCTTGTAAAGAGCTCCATCGCTTTGTGTGTTCTCATGGAATATTCTAGTTTCAATCGCAGCAGCCAAAAGGTTATTTGCAGCAGTTATGGCGTGAATATCGCCAGTGAGATGAAGATTGAATTCATCCATGGGAATAACCTGACTGTACCCGCCTCCAGCAGCTCCTCCCTTAATGCCAAAAGTTGGTCCTTGACTGGGTTGGCGAACGTTTGCGAAAGCAATGCGATTCAAGTGAGCACCAAGAGCTTGAGCAATACCCATAGTTGTAGTGGATTTGCCCTCACCAAGTGGGGTGGGAGTGATACCAGTAACGACAACATATTTGCCATTACGACGATGCTCCAGTCGCTTGAGAAGACTCAGGTCCACCTTTCCCTTATATGCACCGTATGGCTCAAGTTCATGGCCAGCGATACCAGTTTCCTTGGCAATACGGGTGATCTGTTTTGGGCGTTGTGCTCTAGAGATAGCAATATCTGAAGGCACCGGAGTCTGAAGCTTGAGAGGCAAAGGCAGGATGGATCTGCTCCTTTGCTTCTCGGAATAGTGCGCAGCCGAGTCCACAACATTCTGTAGTAACATGGCAACAGTCATTGGGCCAACTCCACCTGGGACAGGAGTGATGAAAGAGGCGACTTCGGAAGCAGATGCGAAATCCACGTCACCAACGAGTCTCTGGCCAGACTTCTTCGTCTCATCTGGGATAAAGTTGGTTCCAACATCAATAACCACTGCTCCTGGCTTCAACCATTCGCCCTTGACAAAGTTTGCCTTGCCAATTGCTGCTACAAGAACATCTGCCTTCTTGATGTGATCCTCAAGACCTGCTGTTTTCGAGTGGCAGACCGTGACAGTTGCGTCAGCGTTCTTGAGAAGATAGCTGACAGGGCTTCCAACAATGTCACTGCGTCCTAGAACAACGGCATTCTTTCCCTTCAGATCAATCCCACTTTCCTGAAGCAAGACCATGACACCTTTGGGAGTGCATGGGGTGAACAATGGTCGTCCTCCCCGTTTGGCAAGCTCGCCAATATTGTTTGCGCCGAATCCATCAACATCCTTCTCGTCTGCAACAGCTGACGTGACCGCGTATTCAGAGATGTGTTTTGGGACAGGTAGCTGCACCAGAATTCCGTGGACGGTGGTATCATAATTCAAACGGGTGATGTCCTCGAGTAATTCGGCCTCTGAAACAGTTTCGGGGTATTGGATGAGTTCACAATCAATGCTAGCCTGATGTTGAATTAGTGGGAGATTATATATGGCATGTGAAGGGAAATGTTTACCTCCTCGGCAGCCTTCAACTTCATGCGAACATAAGTAGCTACACGGGTTAGTCCACAATACCAAAATGAGTTTTAGTGACATGACATACTTGAGTCAGAGCGATCCCCAACTAAAGATGATTAGCATTACCCTGCAGACGTTTGTGTGCCAGACATACCTTGGATGATCTTGAGCGAAGGCTTGTACCTCGGGTTGACCTTCTGGGTGCTCTCGATTTCTGCATGGAGCCTCTCACGGATCTTTTTGGCAATGGCAGTGCCATCAATCTTGGAAGCCGTCATCGCAGGTAGAGCGCTGGAGAATGCCCGAGATTGTGAGGTGTGAGGAGTTGATAAAGAAGAAGAAGAAGAAGTTGCAGCGGAGGTGGGGGTGAGAAACCCAAGCGATCGACAGACACGAGGATTTTGACCCCGCGATTTTAACGTGTTCCTGGCTGGAGACGAGGCTGAAGGACTGCAATTGGAGAACGAACGCACTGCACAAGTCCGGACTAACGGGCGCCGAGGTGATAGAACTGATGCGTGTGTTTGTGAGTGCGAATTGGCTCGATCTTTGTTTGCTAATGGCAGAGAGAGCGAAGAGTAGAGTTCGGATTTGGGCGTGGACGTGGGCGTGGGCGTGGGCGTGGGCGTGGGCGTGGTGCAAGTGGACGAGAAATAATAGGATCTCGTCTGTAACTGGAAGGCGCACAACACCGCACTATCACATCCACATCCACTGCTACAGCTACTGATACCACTCCCAAAGCTGTGCCACTGCGACTGCAGAGAGGCATAGGCATGGGCATGGGCATGGGCTCGCCTGAACATGCCGGGATAGGATTTTGATTTTCCTGGGACTGGGACCGCACAGCGATGACTCTGAAAAATGAGCAACTGCACCTGGTCGAAAAGAATGACTGCGCACTTGAAGGAGCGGACAGGACCAGGACCCCAGGCCGAACTGAGAAGTAGTGTAAGTAGAATACAAAGAAAAGTGAGTAACAGAAAGACAAATGAGTCAAGATCTAAGTGCCCAGTCCTTATCCCGTTACGCGTGGACCGGCTCCAGGATGAATTTCGTCCTCCAGGATTCTGATGGTCCTGGTGGTCCATTTCTTCCAATTTTCTGCTTAGCGCAGGCGGGGCATCTGATTGGCTGAGTCAACCACACATTTTCCCACGGTTCGCTTTGGCGACAAGTGTGAGCGCCAGGCGAGGCAAGTGGCATCGCGAACTTTTTAAAAGAGCGCTCTCCTCCCCCGCAGTCTTCTATCTTCAGTGCAAGGAATCCTGAACATACTGAGCCGCCAAAATGAGACCAACCTTGCTTCAAGGACATGTAAGTGTCGCCGTCCAAATCCGGGAAAAAAAATTGTACTGCGACCTCTTCTGACTTGTTACCCCACTACAGGAGCGGGCTCTTACCCAGATCAAGTAGGCAAAACAACCTCGAAGACACGGCGCATGGACTTGATATTGATGCGTTATACAGATACAATAGAGATGGTGACATCATCTTTTCGACTGCGAAGGATCAGCACATCTGCGCCTGGTTCGCACACAACGGCGAGCGCCTCGGAACATATCACGGCCACCAGGGAGCACTCTGGACTGTTGATGTTGACCCAACCAGCACGGTCATCGCAAGTGGTGCTGCCGACAACACAGTCCGGTTATGGGACATCCGATCGGGAAAGTGTCTGAAGGTCTGGAACTTTGACACCGCTGTTAAGAGAGTTGAGTTCAACGAGGACGGCACACAACTATTGGCTGTTACGGAAAAGCGCATGGGTTTCTTGGGCACGATCGTTGTTCTGGATATTAAGGTCGACATTGAGGCTGAGCAGTCTGATGAGAAGGCTATGGTAATTACTTGTGAGGAGAGTAAGGCTACCGTTGCAGGATGGAGCTACCTCTCGAAGTACATTATTGCGGGACACGAGGATGGATCAGTCTCGCAATATGATGCTAAGGTAAACACATGCACGTATCAGGATGGCAAGACAAGGTTAACACTCTCTAGTCCGGAGAGCAACTTGACAACATTCAAGTCCACGAAATCGATTTGCAAGTAACCGACCTCCAATGGTCACCAGACCGCACATACTTCATCACCGCCTCAAAAGACAAGACTGCAAAGCTCATCAATGCCGCCGACCTCCAAGTTATGAAGACCTACGTAGCCGACACCCCTCTCAACAGTGCCTCAATCACACCCAACAAGGATTTCGTTATCCTTGGAGGAGGACAGGCCGCTATGGATGTTACCACCACCAACACCAGACAGGGTAAATTCGAAGCGCGTTTCTACCACAAGGTTTTCGAGGAGGAGATCGGCAGAGTCCGCGGCCATTTCGGACCTTTGAGTAAGCTCCCCTGATCCCAAAGATGACACTTGTTACCCTTCTTAGTATACTAACAAACCACCGTAGACACCGTTGCAGCCGACCCTACCGGAAAGGGCTACGCAAGCGGCGGTGAAGACGGCTACGTCCGCGTACACCAGTTCGACAAGGCCTACTTCGACTTCACATACGAAGTTGAGAGGCAAGCTCGGGCAGCTGGACAGTTGTAAGGGGTGTGCATTCGTTGGTTCGGTATTGGCTTACTTGCTTGCGTCGGAAACCGGGTGGGTTGTGCATTTTCAGGCGTTTTAGGGATCCATCCTTGTAACGGGGCCAGGGCACCAAAAGGGCTTGTTTGTAGTAGAATTAAACGACTCTCTTGTCTTCAAATCATGGTGGTGCTGGAGAGAGATAGAATTTGGTTCTGCACGAATGGAAATCATCATAATCCATATGGTCACTTCAACAGGACGAGGGCCGGAGTGTGAACATCGAGAGGCTAAGCGCTGGGTACCTGATGTAAAGCTCTATCCACTATGCAAGCAACACGTCTCTTGGACTTTGATTAACAATAGCCCGAGCTGCCTTGAACCCAGCCCCGGACTTCTTGCTGCTGCCCTGGGAATAGACAAAATACCTAGATAGTATCCTCGCGATAATACAGCACCTTCAGCACAAAATGGTTTCTCTCTGACTCTCCAATTCTCCTGCCAAAGATTCACAAATCTTAAAATCCTCGGCCCATCTCCTCTATTCCCTGCACAAAACTCCCTGCTCCTTCTTCTTCTGCAAGATCACATCCACACATGTCCCTCTCACGTACAATTCCCGTCCAACTAGGAGGCAACTTCTTACCTGTTGTCTCGGATCCCAAAACAGGAAGTAAGTGAGAAAGAAATGAAAGTCAGGGAAGAACCCCAAATGGAATATGTGTACAAGGAATCACTTCCTTTCTCCCCTCGGCTATCCACATCCTATCTATATCCTCATAATTATTCCCATCCTCCTCTTCTTCATTTTCATATCTACTTCAATCAATCTTCTCACATCACAGACAGCGTCTGAGACCTCACACAGATCACGGAGATTACACAGGATAGACAACATAGTCTTGCAGAACTTAAGTAATAACGAAGGGTATTCAATTTTAGCCCAGCTGGCGCCAACCAGATAGGCAACACAACTCAGCTGAAAAAACAATGCAAAAAGCATATAGAGACATAAATACAGCCCTTTCGTCCATCAGCCACTCATTCAGCAAAGACTGACCCACAGAAGAGGCAACAATACAAGAGAAGGCGGATGAAAATGAAAGCCTAGAAAAGCCAAATGAATTTTTAGGTATCTCCGCATCTCATCTCATCTCATCTCTCACACCATATGGTCCTTCCACACTTTCCACACGTTTACATCTCTCTAGGAATAGACTAAAAACAACGGGGGAAAAAACGCCAGGCAGCCAATATTGGACATACATGCTGAAGATGGTATTACAAGAAGCGCTTTCCTTCCTTCCATCCCTTCAGTCCTTTCGTTAGGTGCTAATACCAAACATATCGATCTATCTAGCGTCTGGTGAAGCAGCACATGATACCCGAGCGACCTAAGAACCACATGCATCCGATGAACCGGACGCATGCCAGAACGGCAGTGGCATACAGGAGGATAGTGAAGAACTTCTGGGTGCGGTCGGCTGCGTCGTGGCTCTGTGAGGTATGTTAGTACAATTAAATTTGCAATGGGGAGAAACTGGGCTTACGTACTCCGAAACCGAACTTGTTGACGCTATCACTGGTAATGACGACAGCCAACAGAGCATTTGAGAAGATCCAGCAGATCAAAAGCTTCGTTCTGAAAGACTTGTAGGAGTCCTCGAGGGTCTTCTCTTCGACCTCTTCCACGGCAATGAAGGGCTTCAGAGCGCGCTTGACGGTGGCCTCGAATTGGCTGTCGATGTCCTCTTGTGGTCTGTCGATTTCCTCCACAACTGCTCCCTTTCCGTCTTCCTTCTTGGTGGTCGCAGATGGGAGAGCATCGGCCTTGTCGGAACCCTTGGTACCCCAAGAAACATCATGCCAGTTGCTGAAGGCGTAGACCATGAGAACATTGATGTAGGAAGACATGAGGAGTAAGTACTGGCCGAAAGAGGTAAACATGTGCCAAGGATCCAGGTACATGAACGAGGCGACGAAGTAAAGACCGAAGGTAGCCAGCAGGGCGATGATGATGATACCACCGCCACCATCACTGTCTCCAAAGAAACTCTTGAAGAAATCATCCACGCTGTCGGTGTCAAATGATGAGCCAGAGATACCGCGGATAGCCAGATACATTGACAGAACGATCAAGTATGCGTTGATGACACCGAAAACGATGAAAGATAGCATGTAAGTGACTTTGGAACCCTTTGGTCTGTTACCAAGTGCCAGAATGAACTGGACAAGGAGGAAAGCCAGGTAAAGGTATTTCAGAATAGTGTTGATAATGGGTGTTGCCGTGTCGCCAAATGGCCAGCCGTGATGTTCAGCAGCTGTGTCAGAGGCTGGCGTTGGATTTCCCACAAGGTCCATAATAACAGTCGTAGTGAGCCAGAAAGATGCCAACATGAACCAAGACAAGAAAACGGTGAACATATTGTAGATCAGTTGGATATGGAGGAAGAACATGCGGACAAGGTTGTGACCACTCTTGTACCTGTGAAAGTTAGTCTTTGACCATGTTTCAAGATCGTGGCGCAACTTACATTCTGCCGAAATGCATAATCGAATACATACTAGCAGCGAAGGAGCCGTTAAGCCATCTTCGACGCTGTCCAATGAACTCAGCAGCTCCTTCAGGAACATCGGTTTCTCCCTTGGCGGCTTTGATGTACGTCAAATGCCATTTCGATCCAGCTTTAGCAACCAGCTCGAAGCACAAAATTCTGTCCTCGGCCAAGAACATGTTCTTCTTGAAGATGTTCATTCCCTCAATACCCTTCTTACCATACTTTTTGGAAAGCGTGTGGTCACCATGGAAGTATTGCTCTAGAGGTCGTCCCATAATAGCTCGGAAACGGTATGCTGAGAAAGCACCTGGCAACACACTGACATATCCGAAGGAACTCTCCAAAGGTTTGTCCAAAATGTTGGAGATCTTGTACTCGAAATTTTGCGCTGCAACCAAAGGGTTCAATAACTTCCGACCGCCTTTACCCAACATAGCATGGATTTCACCGCATGCTCCTCCCAAATCTTTGTCATTGTAGAAACCTTCCCAGAGAGAAAGAAGAGATTTGGGTCCAGGCTTGGTTCCAGCATCTAGAAGAATACAGACTTCAGGGTTGAGAAGGCGACCAAAAGCGTTGAAAAGCCATCTGTGAGAGTTGATCTTCTTGGTGTTCTTTTGCTTCAAACAGAACATCATCTGCACAGGAGGAAGGGTGCTGGTGCTATCATCGGAAGGTCGAATAAGCTGTTGGTTTGCAGTGACCGACAATTGCGTGGTGTACTCAAAAATGTGGGCAACTGTCTCCTTTCCATCGACATCCTTCTTCATGACACCATCCTGGTAGACACCGATCGTTGCCAGGATATCCAGAGTATCCTTGTCGCAGGGGTCGATACCGTCGAAAACAAGGCAGACCACAATCTTCTGCCACGCTGGGCCACCAACGTTCCAGAAATCGGACTTCTTGAGGTTGACAATATCGCGAATATTCTGCATGACACCGTGCAGTGTACGGGCTGTCAATTGCTTGTCTTCGTTATAGTACGTGACTGCAATGAGCAACTCGGTGTGGCGGTTGTACATCGCTGGTCTAAGATTGTAGCCATTTTTGAGGGTAAACTCATCGGGGTCACAGGTAGCAGCTGTGTATCGCATAGTATTGAACTCTTCGCTACTCGCAGCATCGGCTTCCTGCCTGTACTTCAGCTGCACAGCATTCTTGATGGCGGACGGCACTGGATGGTCAACACTCAAAACAGTGCCTCCTACAAGCTTGACTTTTCTCGTTGCATATCGCTTTAAGCCTCCACCTGGTCCACCGGGAACTGGAGCTTGTCGCTGTCTCCAAGCCTCCGTGGAATTTGTGTCGGCTCTGGAGTATGGGGACTCGGATCTGGGATATGCGTTGTCCTCGAGCGTGTGCCCGTATGTAGTTGTGCTTCCTCCATATTCGCTATTCGAGTATGGGGCGCGAGGCGGACCTGCTGCAGGGTCGGCGTACGATTCAGTCAGACTGTATGCAGAGACTGGTCTGACAGGCGGTGTTCCAGTTCGCAGAGTATTCGACTGGCTATCGTAGGGGCTCGCAAAGGGACCACCGGCTGGTTGTGAGTGAAGAAGAGGCTGGGCTCCATCTTCGTCGTCTTGAGGTGGTCTGTGGTACTGGGAATGTTTTGTTAGACACTGTGGAAACTCGGTTCTTTCAACCAACTCACACTGCCCACAGGGGGGAGATCTTGCAACTGCTCTCCTTGGTACCCTCCATTACCGCCGCCCGGGTATGCCATGGTGCTGGCGTGTTATCTGTTCTCCGATAACGAGTGTTCGGTGTGAAAGGGGGATGTTGGGACGTAGAAGATGGTACTTGTGGTGGATTCAATATGAGGAGTGTTATGAATCGCTGTGCATCAACAAACGACGTCACAACAAAGCAACCCTGCAAGAATGAATGAATGAAGCAGGAGAAGATGGATCTGGATGATTGAGATGGACGACAGATGATTTTGAAAGAATGAAAAGGAGAAGGACGTCGTGAGATTCTCGGCACAAATGATCTGCACTGCTGAACAAAAGGGGAGCGAAGGAGGTGGAGGTCGTGGCGCGGAGAGGCAGATTTAGTTCCAATCGCTTGGTAGTGGAGAGGAGTTCAAGGTACAGACAGGTATTTGAAGGTCGCCAACCGAACAAAGGACTTCACTCTCACGGCCAACTGCGCCTCAACGAGCCACAGCTACAGGAGACACGGATGCAGAGATGCAGAGATGCGATGCCGTGCAGCTTCGTTGAACCACTCACCAGTCAATTCTATTCGCTGCAAATGCGGTGCGAGCGAAGTGTATTTGGACGGCGCGTCTGCAGTCCTTTTTTGCCTCCAACCCTTTGACAGGTCTGAAGTGTCCCGCCCGACAAGCTTAACTTAGGGTGTGTTTCAGGGGCTGTAATTGAAACAAGGGTTCTGCCTGTACCAGAACAAGATTTCTCCCAGCTCAAGATCCCCTCGACCATCGAATACAACTCTAAACTTTCTTTCTTTCAATACTTCATAAGGTTCCTCTGACTTACAGTTCCTATTGAGAGGAATCAGTGCTCGATCTCGACTTACTCAGGCACTTTTTGTTTACAGCCAAGCCGGTAGCCGCAGCCCAGAACGCCCCGGAGAGGCGGCTGCATCTGGTTGCTGGGGTTAGGGGGTGGTCAGATCTATAAATATATTGCCATCGCCTTGCCGAAGTCGAGCTTTACTGGCTTGGGATACGGGAGTGACGAATTTGTGGGGCAAACTTTTCAACTTTGTTGAAAGCTTCATGTGCAAAAAATGGAGCGTTACAGGTGCAGCCATTATTATGCAAGATCATTCAATGATGACTTGTTGCAAATTTGTTGTGTTCTCGTATTGCCGATGGTGGACGATAATCAATAGGAAATCTTCGGCAGCCACAACGTCAGTCATGCAACGAGCCAAGACTCAAATTCGAGCGAGAAAAGGGGCAGATGCTGTCACGTGGCCATCGATTGCCAACATGAGTTCTCCGTGGTCGTTGCGTAGAGGAATATTTGGACTATTGGACTCTATCGTGAATGTAAAGGCCGTTCTCCTCTCTCCAGACCAAGAAGAGGTGGTAGTTTGCCAAGGCCATGTCAAAGACATGGAACCAAATGACCTAGGCTAGTGTCCAGTCTTCCAAAATGGTGTTCCTGTCGCCGAATACTCAAGGTGTTCTATGATTGGAAAACATCAAACGCAGACGATATCTGTGCATTGCTAGGAGGGTTCGTTCTGAGTCCCAGGTTTTAATTACACTTCATTGGCCGACAACATGAATCTAACTTTGTTAACAATCGCAGTTATGATCGGAGAGGAGAAAGTCAATCTTTACGCGATCCGCAGGGAAGTCTCTTTTCATACCTTGAAAACCTTAGTCTGGAGATCTCACTAAAAGTCGATTCAGTTTGCAACAGTCATCTGTCTCATCTGAAAATTGACCAGGTTGCGGCGGGCTCAATTTAGCTGACTCGTTCCCCAGCTGAGAGCTTTTGCTGTGCTCATGATCTGATGATTCTTGAAGTACGGTGTATGAACCCTGATTGCAAAAATCGTTCACGAAGGAAGTCCAGGTGCAGAACTAGTCTCTTCTCGTCTTTGTCAGCCCTTTCATCACGCCAAGAACATTCTCATATCCCAAGGGACGATGGGGAAATGTGGATGGTGCTTTGCCTTATGAAGCGGGAAACAGGTCATCTTTCGTAAAGGTATTCACAATCTCCGTCGCACTGGCGCATTCAAGTTTTGCTCAATGGCTTGATTGGGCGTCTCAAGGAAATTGGGTGGTGTAGAGTCGTTACCACTTGTCCTATGGCAAGTATCAGCATCCCATTCTTTGAACTCGTCTTCCGTGTACTATGTGCACGATATGATACCACCAAGCCGGCCCCACACAATTTTTAGTGAGAGATTTTTGAACTAGATCATGAGGATACTGCGATAAGTTGGTGGCGCGAAGAGCAAGTGGATTTTTCCCACCAAGTCACAGAATGGAATGAGCATTTCCGCTTGGGTGGGCATTTGCAACATGGCTGTATGCCCTTTCGAGCATGGCCCTTATTATTACAGAAGTATGAGAAACATTGCTCTCTTCATACTGGTTCATGGACGCTGCGAACCATTTGTAAGTCTTCCCGAAATGGAACAACGGGAGCCTAAAATATGCTCTCCCTCGCTCTGCAGCCATGTCGATCAGAGTTCTATATTTTGTCTTGAACTCGCCAATCGCGCGTTTTTGCCAATTTTTATTCCTTCTCTCTGTTTTCCAGGGCAGCATCAGCCATGTAGGGGAGCAATCAGTCGGTATCTGGTGGGGAACATGTCACGATACCTCTTTCCTTTTTCGTCATTGACCGAATCTAAGCATATCTGCCGCCGCCTTGCTCCACGGTTCTAGCCCTTCCCAGAACTCCGGTTCTTGATCCTCATTTCAACATCGTCCTAATTACTTGCATTTTTGGCAGCAAATGTTCCCAGCTATTTGCAATTATGGTATCGAATTTTCTCCAACTTCCCGAGCTGCACGGCAGACAAACTGGAACGCTACCCTAAAGTACCCAAACATTTTGATGACACTCCACACCCGGTTGCATAGAGAGCAAAATTGACAAAGCAGGGTAAAGACTTGCTCCAGATATCTGATTCAACCACCAACAATCCCCATCTCTCCAATCAACTCCTCTCTAAGTCACGCCTCATTGCCTGAATATCATCATGGGGGAAATCCCACATCGTCTACAATCTCCACGGCACAACACACGACACTAGTAAAACTCATTGTCACGGTCCATTATTCCGACCAAATCAACACAACTTGCCTGATAGGGAGGATAAAGTCCTCGACGTGCCAACATCGGGGACCAAAAACCCTTCTTTTCCTTGGAAATTATCCGATTCTCGATGCCTATTGGCTGAAAAGCATGCGAAGTTTGTGAAAGGCCGTGGCCGCAGCCAACCATCACGGCAAGATTGATTTCTTTTTGGCGAACTCTTGTTTCCGATCTGTTTCTATATATCCCTAGACATGACTTCCTTTTCTTTTCGCAGCTCTCACTTGCCACCAACGTCGTACCAACAAACACATCCCAAACCAACATCGCATTCCATCAAGTCTCCCGTCGTCGTCCCCATCGTCGACACGTGATCGTTCTCGGACCAGAACAACAGGGCACTGATCGGTTTTAGGCCCCCCTGGTAGATCGATCACTCGTGGGATCACGTCAACTTGACTGCTCGAAAACATGTCCCAACGCAGACCGAGGGCTTTCGTTTCATGCCACGAATAAGAAATACCCCACGGCTGTATTTTTCAACGAACTTGTGGGCTTGCACTTGCAGCAGCAGCTTCCTTGCCTTTTGCCTCGTCTTGGCTGCTGGGCTCGCTCTCTTTGGACAAGTGGATGCTGCTTTTACAGCCACTGTCAGCCAATAGCCTAGCTTCCACGCCACGGAAGCAGTGCAAGAGGGCCCTTTGACAAGGTCTGCACATTTTGGAAGCAACACCACGTTTTTGTTGCCGTGCGTGGCTAGGTTGCGAGCAGAGAAGGCAAGCAAGCAAGCAATCAGCAAGCAAAAAAAGTACTTACTGTTCGTACAGCAGGATTTCTGTGCCTCCTTGTGTACTTAACTCTATCGTGCCGCATTCGCATTCAGCTCGAAGGCCTCAGCTCCATCCATCGCCAGCACCAGCTACCTACCTACCTACCTACCTACCTACCTTTGATCGTTGATCGTTGATTACCTTCAGAGGCATTTGACTGTACCATACCCATACCCATACCCATACCCATACTCTCAGTCCTTTCCTGCCTCCTGCTCTTCCCTTCCCTGTGGTCCCGTCCACGTCCCCGTCCCTCTCTTGCTGGGCCTGTCAGCTTCAAATCCCAGGGATCTGCCCCTCCGCTTTGGGCGTTGGCATCTAGACCTAGTCAACGGCCCCAGCTGCATCTTCTTCCGCGCGAGCCACCCTGCCTGCCTGCCTGCTTGCTGGTGGACTTTACCTACCAGACCCCCATCTTAGCATCTTAGCATCGACCCTACTATCTACCCACAGCGACAGCCCTCCTCCGACAATTGCCGCCCAAAGTCGAAGCTCTGATTCTTGCGACATCCATCTCCAACTACGAGAAAATTTCGAGCTCCTGCTGCTTCAATCCTGTCCAGATCTTCAAGAGATCTACTTACATTCTCGCCGAGGTCCAATCCACTACCTACCTCCCTCCCTCTCTCCCACTCCCAGACCGACCCCAGAGCCAAAAAAGCGGCACGTTCTTTCCCTATCGCACCCTATCGAACGGAAGCCCGAGCTTTGCTTCCAACACCAAAACCTAAGGTCCAGAACGACTTCTCCACCGCAGATCAAGGGCTCCACCGATTCGTGCTGCTTGCTTGTGATCTCCTCGATTTTATTTCTCCTTCTACCGGACTCTGCGACCCTATTTACGTCTCTTAATCTCAGTCCGACGCTCAGAAGACCGCACAGCAAATACCCACATCATGGCGGGCAAGATGGTGCTGTACAAGTTGGTGGTGCTAGGGGATGGAGGCGTTGGGAAGACTGCTTTGACTATACAATTGACGCTACAACATTTCGTCGAGACCGTAAGAATTTTCCGCTGCTCGGAACATGTCCCTGGAGCAGTTGCCTCGGCCTCAAATATCCATGCTTACTCTCTCTAGTATGATCCGACCATTGAGGACTCATATCGAAAGCAAGTGGTGATAGATGGACAATCATGCATGCTGGAAGTACTCGATACCGCGGGGCAGGAGGAATACACAGCATTAAGAGACCAATGGATTCGCGACGGGGAAGGTTTTGTCCTGGTATACAGCATATCGTCAAGGTCATCCTTCACAAGAATTCAACGATTTCACAATCAAATTCAACGGGTGAAGGAATCATCAGCATCTTCGCCTTCGTACCCCGGATCACCGATATCTTCTGTGGCACCTTCGGCACCAGTACCTATAATGCTTGTTGGAAACAAGAGTGACAGGGTTACAGAACGGGAAGTCTCTACACAGGAGGGTCACGCATTAGCACGGGAGCTGGGATGCGAATTTGTCGAGGCGTCGGCGAAGAATTGTATCAATGTGGAAAAGGCATTTTACGATGTGGTACGACAACTGCGCCGCCAAAGAATGCAGAACAATATCAAGGCTATGCAAGGCTCAGGAAGAGGGCAACGAGCCGCGACCGGTGGAGATGGACCTATCCGGGACAACAATCGAATCTATCGTCCAGACAAGAGAAGGACGAAATGCACCATCCTCTGAAAAACCCTAGCCTGTTCTTGTACCAAGGCTTGGTAGTTCGAGGCATGTACGACGCTCGCGATCCTCCTTTGGCAGAACAGGTCTACCTGCCTATGACCTTCCTTCTACCACGAAATATTCTCCCGTCCACTACAACGTTGTTCGGACATATATCTGGGTCGGCGAATGGAGTACCAAAAAGACACAGAGAGAGGGGCATACGGCGTATTCATGAACTTGGAATGGGAACAAGACGACCAATGACTGCGACGAACTACACATCGAATTCCATCTCGACAAGAAAGGGAATAGGGGTAACGTCAAAACGGTGTTATTCCGGTGTGACCATATCGTCGAAAGAAAGGAGTGGGATGGATGGATCATGGGAGGGGTTTGGGTGTTCTATGGCGTACGCACTTATGTTATTTCGGGAATAGGTATCACAGATCATCTATGGAATATTGCAAGCAAAATATGTTTCACTGTTCGTGTGTTTTTCAATCCGAAGCATTTCTCCGCTCAACTTCTGGAGCCCAGTCCCACAATGAGCAGGGTTGGGAACCCGCTGGAATTGAGAGCAGGAATGGACTGCGGGCATGCCAGTAGACTTTGGATTTCATGGCATTACTTAGGTACTCCATCTGCAAGGTCTGATGGAAAGCAATTGAGCACATTCAAGAACGTTTGGCATGCTTGATTCTTCTAGTTTCCGTCTTGTACCCGTTTAAGCACTTGACACTCCTCAATTGGCTTTCAATTATCGTTCAACAGAAGTCAATGACACGCAAAATCTCTCCCTAAGACATCTCTTATCAAGCAAATTCAACATACACTTCCCCAACCTCTTCCCCTGATGTCCGTCCCTATCTTCTCAGCGCCTGCCTACCCCACCAAGGGAAAAGTGAGCACAGGGGGGGGGGGGGGGCGATGTGGTCAGTGCCAGTCGCCTGCACGCCTGCCCTGCACAAAAGGATATTAGCTGCATCAGTTGACACCCAGCGTTGCGCAGACTCATTCCTGAAACTTGAATCTGACCTTCCCGATCTAGCGAGAGGGCAGTTCGCACCCAAGCAGGATGACGATTTTGCAGCAAAAGGAAGTGCGGGCAATGGGCGAGCTACCCCTTCATAGCCCTATCTGGTAGTGTATGACTGCCATGTGGGATCAGCGTGGCATAATGGCAGGTCATGACCTTTAACATGGGTTGAGCAGTCCCGAAACACTAGACTGGTAGGTCTAGCACACTTAACATGGGCTTGGAGAGGGGTTTGAAGCCGTGAGGAGAACGATCTGGATGGTTTGGATGGGCTTGTACACGGAGCACCAGCTGGGATAATATTGAGTCCTGAGAGAAGGTCGGATGGAAGGATGTGATGTAACATCTGGGCGTGGGAGACCGTCAGGTACCTGTCCCTCTGAGCAGCTTCATGGCGCAGTACCCTTCTCTGTACCCGGGATTTCTCTTGGATCTTCTAATCTGATTACTGTATTGAGAACGAAGAGGCACAGTACAACACACCGCAGGGTCAGGTACCCGCTCTAGTGCTTGGAATCTGGAAGGATGGAAGCTGTGAAAAGGCGCCGAATGTGAGATGTGAGATAGATAACACAATGAGAAGGCGGCTTATACGAGAGGAATTCCAAAGGGATGGTTGAGTTAGATTAGCTGTACGACTGGTGGATTCCGTTTCATTCCCATTGCTTTGGTATTGATTGAGCTTGGTGGAGACAGGTGGGGCAATTTCCATAATACCACCTGCCTAAGGTGTATACATCTGTACCTTTCCTAGCCTTCCAGCCTTCTGAGGTAGCCTTTGCTTATCAAAAGAATTTCTCAAGAAAGTCAACTTCGATCTAGCAGAACTTGAAATCGCCGATCTATACTTGTTTTGCTGTGCCCCTGATTCTCTCCTTCCTTCTAAACCAAGACGAGAGAGAATTGCAATTCCAGCTCAATGGATTTCTTGCCCTTCGGTCATGCTAAGCATCAGTCTTGTCTTGTATCTTCTATAAGATCCCTCACCTCATATCTTATCAATCTTGGGAATGCAGTCACCGATCCATTCTTTCCAACGTAGGAGAAAGAAACACTGCGTGACACTGACCACCGTGCTGTGCCAGCTGAACTCCAAGCGGCTATCATCCTGACTACTCAACTTCACTGGATGGCGAGGGCGCCAGCGCGGTTGAGAGAAGTGCCAAACGAATACAAGTAACATGTCGAGTTCCTGCTGAAGAACAGACGCCTCTGCCTTTATCACTCGTGTTCTGGCAGGGAACGTAACACGGCTCGGATCTTCCCAAAAGATGAGACATACATTGCGTCCTTTGTAGGGTACAAGAAAGGCAATGATTCGCTTCTCATCTCCAATGAAGATGGAACCTGGACTCTTCTTGGCTTGAATAATTGAGATATTCCCAGCTGAGCTTTGCAGATCAAGGGTCCGATTTCCTCGGTGAGACGTCTCACTATCAGGAGCAAATGTTGCCGTCCCGTTCTCTCCCATCTTATCCTATCTGATTCTAAGATACTGCATTTGGGATGAATTGCTTCTTTTGACGGAGCAACGTCCGTTGGAACTTGGAAGTAAGTGAGCCTCGACGATCGTTCATTTCTTGTTAGCTTTTAGAGGCTTGCCTGCATGGTAAGTGAACCGTGACGCAATTTTTGCAGTGATGACCTCGGTGTAGAGACTGGCATAAAAGATACACGCAGGTCACATCCATGGTGTCCAGAAGCGGCAGAGCGACAGTACAATGCGGCATTGTATGGACAGAAGACGAACCACCGATCCCGATGTGCCGGCGACTTGCTCAGGACGTTACGGAAGCAAGAAAAGTTTGATTTCCGTGCCGCAGTGAAGCAGACGGGAAAGTTGAGGAGACTTGAAGAGCACGGATGGTGGGAACATCCGTCGTGTACCTTGGTACGTACCGCATTGGTAATCAGGAACGTCGAGCCGGCCGTTAGAGAGGATGCCAAAAGTTTGGTAAAGTTAATAATAGTCAGTTCCCCTTTGTGAAAAGCGTGCTCTGGCTTACAACAATGTTACAGAGAGAGGAGCTTGAAAGTTTGCTTCGACCTCGCTTACCATACTAGGCAGGTCCCAAAGTCTCTAATTCTCTTGAGACATATAATAAGCATTGTATTACATCGGAAAGGAAGGGTCAATGAATGACGATCTCTCCCATTCGGCTCTACACATGTTTTATACATGTGATTGATGTATATAGTAGCCAAAGAAGTAGTCCGAGCTGGTGACTATATATGCAGTTGGACTTGAACTGAAGAAGTAGGGTAGGTAGGTGGTCCCAGCAGATGGGTAAAAGAGCCGAAGTGCAGATATAGATGAGGCTGCTGGCTTTTGCTTTTACCAGATTTGTGTTAATTATGGGTAGAGCTATGTGTGGATGGGACCTCGCTAGGGAATAGCCTTGCCATTGATGACTTACGTGCTGTTGTATAAGGTAACTTTGGAAGTCACATCTGCAAAGAGGAAGCACAAAAGGGCAATATCAAGACTTGGGAAATTACCTCGGAATATCCGAACTTGACAATTCGGGGCAAGGTGATGATGACTTCACAGGTACCAAGGTTAACTGCAGCAGAGTTTGGTGCGGGGTACCTGAGGTACTTCCCGGAACCCTGCTTTCTGTTGCAATTCAAAAGCACCGACTGATCCCCAAAAACTGTCCTAAGACCAAAAAATACCAAGACTAATGCGGCTGCACATGTAATGATGCGACAAAGCACAACGAACGAGACGTCACCCAATCTCGCAAACACTTGCTCAAGGACCGTACTACCCCCATCACAAATAGAGAAACCACACTGCAAAGCAAGCTATCCGAGAAGCGAAAAACCATAATTCGAAACCAAGAACGCCTTCGACGCCTTCAAACATACAGATACGAACTGCATTCCAGAATCGCACCACTCTTCTCTCTTCTTCCCGTCAGGTTCCTCCGCCTCTGACGGAGTACGGCGTCAAAGAAAAGGCGAACCAGCAAAAGCCAAAACCCCGGCCTGGACATTCCTCCCCTCCCCTCCTCCCTCCCACGCTCGCCTATTCCAGCAAATAACAGCGCTCTCGCTTCAGCTTGACGCCTGTCTGTTGGGCTGCAGAATGCAAGCACAATGCAGCTAGCTAGCTACCTTGCATTGCAAGCGTGTAGTTTGTGCAGATAGGTAGGGACGCTCGCAGGTAGAGACTCCGGTGGTGCCCTGCGAAAAGCGGCGAGTGGTGTGGGCTGAGGCTGACTACGGTATTGGATGGGGGTTGCACCCTTGTGGAGAGTGGTGGAGGGCGAGAAAAAGGTTTAGGATCTGGCTGCAGAGCTAGACAGGCACGTGATGGTTTGTTTTGATTGCGTTGTCTTTCGGGCTCATTTGCCTTTGCTTTGTTTTTATATTGCTATTTCATGGCTCTTTTCCTTTTGCTTTGAGTTGCTGATCCCAATGAGTAGTCGAGACGGGACCGATTTTTTGATAGAGTCAGTTGTACATCACTCTCTTTGCTGTGTAACCGCACATATCACCCGAGACGTACTGTACATACGGGCATACGTAAGTTCTCAAGTACCACCGTTCCAGTGAAACACGCCTCTCAACTTCTTTACCAATCACCCAATCATTGACAGACATAACACAGGACAATTCACAGAGACAATTACAGATTCCAGGATCGGTGAGGATCAGGATCAGAATCAGGATTTCACGGCCGAGGAACGACCGATTGTGATTCCTTCCTGTCTCGCCTCGCCATCCATGCCATGTGCTTTCTTCCAGCTTACGAGCATGGATAGGAAATCTCGATCTCGATGTGATATAATGTGATGTGACGTCGGGTATTGACGTGCATATGTACGCACTATACACTGCTATATTACTATATATTTTGTTGTGATACAGTGCAGTGCTTACCAGATTTCCTTCGTCTGGGGAAAAGAGCGTTGGGTTTGAAATAGATTGGTTGGGCATGTAGGCAGCCATCGGGAACTCAGCCGAGGAGGCTGATATGGAACGGCCCGGGAGATGGAAATTGTCAGCCAACTGCCTTACGACCTTGGTGTCACCTATTTAGGTAGCGAGATAGGCGCGTGCTACGCTGGAATGTAGAGGATGTTGTGTCCCGGCGGTAGGGAGGGGAAAGTGATATTGGCGGGGTGCAGGTGATTGAGTGGACTTGCAATCCAGTGGGTTGGTTCTGTGGATGAATTCTGTCCGAAGTGCTGTTCAAGGTAGGATCGCAGATAGTATATTTGGAACCCGATGCATTCTGCGGACGTGAACATGACCTGAAACATGTTTACAGATTGTCTTTACCGAATGCTCTGCATGCTCGACTCCCGGAGACGGCATGTGAAAGCCTAGAATCAGCCAACAAGTGCATGATGTAAATACAATTGCAACTTGCAACAGTGAACTCATCTAGAAAGTAATGCTGCTATCCACACATTACTGGTCGTTCCTCGATATCGGAATCATTTCCCTTTTTCCCATCCCTAAATGTAATTGCACCTATGGGTGACAGCCAGAAACTCCTCGCTCTTGCTGAATATCAAAATACCAATTAAAACAATTTCGAAGCAACCACAACCTCGGACTATACGGCCTGGGTATCCGAGACTGTCTCATTCCCTCCTCCAACACTTACAGGATGTTTGTCCAAGCTCTCATACCACTGAATGACGCTCCCGACCAGAAAACACCACGAGCCCCAGAAAGTAGCCAGTGAGCCTTGGTACACGCAGCCACTGTTGGAGGCAGCGAAGCCGAGAGCTCCGCATAGAGTGAAGCCAATACCCTTTTGAGCAGTTGTCAATCTACAATCTGGTAAAGAGAGAAGGGAGAAATGAAAATGACATACTCCTACAAGATTCCATACTCCAATATGCCACCCCAGCACCTTCGGAGCAGGAATATACCATTTCTTCTGTGTTTCTACCATGAACAAGAAGCCCGAAATGATAAAGCCGGAGCCTCCAAGCACTTGGGGAAGCCAATAGGCTCCATTCTGAGCTGCTGTTGAGGTGAGGCGGCTATAAATTGGAGGAAGAGCTGTAAACCCAGATATCCACTTCGTAAATCAGTGACAAGTCCATAAGTTGTAAACAAAGATGCTGGACTTCCTTCATGACCCCTGGCTTACCACCCTATGAGTACCAATTAAACTATTGGGTGAGAAACACCCGCGAGGCACACCGTCTCAATTTCTTCTCGTTCCGCATCATGAGAAACTGCATGTGATGTTTTCGACACGGGGCAAGGAAACGCTTCCAACTTACGAAAATAGTCGCCCCGATCATCTGCGACAAGCAGGCTAAAAAGCCAACTTCCTTAAAGTAATGAATCCTTAACTCATACCAAGTAGGCCACCAAGTCCAAGTTCGCGCAGACTTAAAATCTAGCTTATCTTTCGAAGCCATCTCGACGTTCAGTGGAGGTTTGCCTATGCAATACGAAATTAGTGACCAATCTAGAACCTTGCTAGCAAAAAAACAAGACAAACCATCCACAGTCTTCCCCTTACCAACTAGATTTCCCTTATTCCTATGATGATGTACACACCCATCGGGCTTCAACCTCCTAAGTCCCCGCTCCTCCAACACCTCCTCAATCGCCCAGCCAAAACAATCCGAACGATTCTCATTCACCGCCTCAATCATCAACAGCACACTCCCAATCTCGAATATAGTGGCGCCTACAAAGGCACTTATGCCACCTGCATTTGCGATCTCGCCAGGAAACTCCGAAGAGGGGAGCTGTAAAGGGAGCCAGACGAAGAAGGCGTTGACACACCAGTCGAGAGAGCCAAGTGTGAAGATGATGGCGACTAGGTAGGAGACGTCCCAGTATGGGAAGGAGGTGAACATGAGGAGGATACCGTGGAGGGTTGCGCGGAAGGTGTTGCTTGGTGGGGGAGTGAGGTATTGCACGTCTTGGTGGAGGGCTGGTGAGATGGAGATTTGATGCCGGCCTGTATTTATACTGTTAATATATCTCTTTTCATCCAAATTTGTATACCCTCGGGCTTGAACTTGGATGTGATTCCTACCTTTCCGATTGTCCCTCGTTCTGAACAGACGCTCTACATCGCCAGCTCGTATCTCGTCCCCCCGATTCTTTGCAGGATCCTCGGTTCTGTCTCCCTCTCCATTGCCACTCTCTTTATTACGCAGATTCTCTTGAATTTTCTGGTCAATTAATTTCTGAGAAGGAAGTCTATAGTGGCGTGTTGTAGGGTTCAAGAAGCTGAAGGGTCCATAGGCATCATGGCCGTGCTTTTTGTCAAAGCGTGAAGCTTCCATGGTGTGTATGCAATTGAAGTTCGCTCAGAAATCTCAGTGACGCGTGGAACCTTTGGCTGGTAGAAGCTGTGCTAAGGGGACCTCAGAGAGGATTTTGGGACTATTAAGTGCATATTATTGGGGAGAAGAGAAGGAGTTTTGATTGTGAAAGGGAAGGGAAAGTGTTGATATGACGCAGGGTGATCTCCGCCAAGGCAGTGTCAAAATGCTTACTTTATCCCCGAGACGGGGGTTCGTGGGGTGTGCTGGGATGACGGCGTGCAGCCTCGGTTGGTCAAGTCAAGTCAAAAAGTCGAGATACAAGACATCTCTTGAGTACTAGTAAAGCTGCTATATAACAACTTGCTTTCCAACATTTGGTCTGTGATACTTCTCACAATAATGTCTTCAAACTCAGATATCTTTAAGTTCCCTCCAAAGGCATTAACCTTTGATGTTTTCGGTACGGTGGTGAGTAATGCTGCTTACTGTGACTGGCTACCCCACTTCAATATCCCCTCTTGACGTTTGAACTGCCACATCCGTACTCGAACAAGAGCAAGAATATGAACTCATATCATCAAACAGGTCAACTGGCGTGACACCGTAACCAACAAATTGATCCAAAGTGCCGCATCCAAAACCTCATTCTCACCCTCTTCAGCATCTCTCGCCCCAGAAGCCCGCACCAGACTCTCGCAACTCACCAACGATGACTGGGCTCGATTCGCCGAAGAATGGAGGAAATCCTATTATCACTTCGTCGTGAACTTCGTCCCTGGGAAGAGCCAATGGCGGGACATAGATACGCATCACTATCTATCTCTCATCGACCTGCTCAAGAAATGGGACATTGCGGGGTTGTACAGTGATGACGAGGTCAGGGATTTGAGTCTCATCTGGCATTTCCTTGATCCGTGGAAGGACTCATCCGCTGGAATTCATGCCCTCGGCAAGAAATTCGTAACATCAACTCTGTCGAATGGGAATCAAACTTTGCTTAAAGACTTGCAGGAGCATGGGAACTTGGGCTTCAAGTTGCTTCAGTCTTCCGGGGATTTCAAGGCTTATAAGCCGCATCCCAGTGTTTATAACGGAGCAGCTGAGAAGATGGGGTTGAAGACTGAGGAGGTTGCTATGGTGGCTGCTCACTTGACTGATTTGAGGGCTGCGAGGGGGTGTGGCATGAAGACGATTTACGTGGAGAGGAGACAGGAGGAGGCTTGGACGCCTGGCTCGAAGGAGTATGAGGATGCGAAGACTTGGGTGGATGTTTGGATTAAGGAGGATGAAGATGGGTTTCTCGAGGTTGCGAGGCGATTTGGCATCAGCTGAATATTTAAAGTTTTTGATCCGAGGATCTTATGAGACGATGATATGCCTTTGACGTTGTCTCGTCTTGTATGAGGATGCTGGATGCATGACTGATAGAGCAGCCGAGCATAACTAAGCCTTGCATAAAAGGACTTGAAAACCATTTACAGTTCATGATGAAGCTCCGACATTCACCCGCCTGATTCTGAATCAGATGTCTCTCATCGGTAATTAGGCTCATCCCATCCTTAACTTAAATATGGTTTTTGAGTTTTCGATCCTCGCAAAGGTACGCGCGGCTGAAAGTTGGATGTCGATCAGATTACTTTAGCTGTAAAAATATCCTTTGATTTCATCTTCACCATCTGTCCCGCGTGTTGGCGCTTCCGGGTGGAACGGCTGGTCCGATGCTCACAGCCTCAGAGACCTCTTCCTCAGAAGTCCTCGAGACTGTGGACGAGAAACGGAGTTATCTGAATCGGAAGGCTTCCGAGGCTGAGATGGATTGGGATTATGGATAAAGATAGGGGGCTCGGCTAGCAATCCCAACACCCGGTTACGGTAGAAGATGTGCGGACTCGATTTTAAAATTCGGCCAGGGTTCGAGAACACCATTTTGTTGTTGGTGGAGGCTTCTGAAACGCAAAATCGCGGAGACGTTAACTAAAACGGCCTTGCTCATCTCGGGGTGTGCTGCGAGATTATTCTGCGGTGGGGGAAGGTGGTATTGAACCGCAGGGATCGCGAGGCCGTCTGTGGTGAGATCGTGGACAGTTCAGAGCTTCCGATGCTTGATTTCTTTTCAAAAATTTATTGATCAGATGCTACCAAACGCATGTGAGAGACCAAATCTTACGTTTCCTTTGGTAAGCACTTCCACCAGGTTGAGTCTCCCGAGGTAAAAATGGAAGACCGTTATTTGCATGTCGTTATCTATCCGAGTCCTTTGAAGCTGGAGCTGTTGCCGGAGGTGGCTTGAGCTTCATGGTATTGTGGCGTCGTCGGGAAGTTGACGAAACGAGGAGCGGCTCGTTGAGAATCGCGTAAAATAGAAAAGCGCTTGGCCGTTTATCTTCTGAAGGAGAGAGTCGCGTAAAATTTGTGTATTATGCGTTCCATGAGGCTGGATCAGCCATGCTCTCAACCCAATGCGATTGGATTTCGAGAGAGGGTGGTTCCTGGCTCGTACCGCAAGAAACACCGCTTCCACGTGCCGTCAATATGCCACTGCTTGGAGATCAGCAGTGCAGACTGCCAGCTTAGCTCAGTCTCAAAGTCATTTACAGTACAGGTCGTGCTTGAGCCAGAAGCAATTATTAGTCTTTGTTGACTTGCTAGCACTCGGAGCCGAGACGTAATACAACGATGCAAAACCAGAACAGACTTGTACTGTGAAGCAAAGATTTCTAGCTTGGAGTGAAAAAGCGCAAGCTGTCGAGCTTGCGAGCTTGGAAATAAGGCTATGCAACACCATCACAATCCTGCATTCATCACACGCATATCATAAGCATTATGAAAGGCACAATAATTAGTCCCCATCCTTGTCGACTGGGCTGGCCAGAGATCAGGTCGGCAGGTGGTCCAGTTCAAGCCATGCCCAGTGGAAGTTTTTCCTGGTTACTTCAACACTTGCCTTGTCACGCAACTCCAGGGTTTTCTCTGGGTAAGTCTGGTTCCGAGCACTGCAGATCTGTCTCTCAGCATGCAGTCTGCTCTGAATACAGATTTGCTCACTTGATCCTCTCTTCTCTGCACTTCTGTGTCTGCCATATGGTGCTGGGTGCCACCACGGTAGCATGAGCGCCCCATAGCCGAGGTGAAGCCTTCTTCGGCAGTTATCATTTTTGATGTCTTAGACCTCGCGATCTGATCTCCAAGCTGCATAATTCTGCAAAACTTTATACTTTGCAGTAGTCGTTGGTCACCTTTCCCAACCATTCGGCTTCACCTGAAGGATTCCGGGTTCTGGCTGAGTGAGGTGGAACCCGCTGCCGGATCGGCCCATTGGAGCCCGGAGGACATGCTAGTAGCTCCATCGTTCATCGTCAAACACCCACTTCAGATGCTAGGCGGACCTGCTAACCGCTTCGAAGCAACACACCCAGACACCCCCACCAGTGAATGACAATATGGCTTCCCGCCATCGCGGGTTGTTCTGATTTGACAAAAGTTTGAATAATATCTGGTCTCTCACCAAATCATTTCAGTTTCATGGATCGTGAAGAAAAACACGGGATTTTTCCCGTGGGTAAAGTTTGGTTGGCGGCCTTCAAATGTCCCCGGCAGTGAAGGCCTTTAAGCCTGGACCCCAATCGCATTCCCTGCGCTGAGAAATACACAGGCTGAGCTGTTACAGGTCAGGTAAATCACAAATTTGAGGCCGATTGACTGGTGGAGAAGATCAGCGATGTCTGCTTGGGGTGCTGCTCCTTCAGGCCGCATTCACAAGGACGACTCCACGGCTTTGATCCGGAGCCTTGGACAAGAGAGGCCAGAATGTAACAGGATCATCTCATCAGCACTTATTGAGTAACTGACAACCCCGGGCGTAACATCGTCTCGCTCTCCTTCAAGTTTCCTGCCATCAGCACCAATTGAATAGCTCAGGTCACAGTTTGGGCCGTCACCAAGACGTGTTGATGAGTGGCTCTTGCTTCTCCATTCCCTCCCCCGCTGCTCCATCGAAGTACCTCTGTAGGAGTCTCTTTTCCGTCCCTTCTCACGTTCGTTCAAGGTGTCTCCCGTGTGTGACACCTCTGGAATAATCAGTGCACACTGCATTGCGTCTGCAGGTGCAGGTGCAGCAGGTGCATGGCCATGGGTGGCCTGGACGAAAAGAGAGCCAGAGTGCATAAGCGGACGTCCTCGTCCTCGTCCTCGTCCTCGTCCTCAAGGTGACCCGAAGACTGATGCTAGCGTCAGGCATGGTCGCTACTGTACTGTAGGGTATTCCCCCTAGCGTGCTCTCACTGCTCACCTCGCGCCCTTGCCCTTGCCCCTGAGCTCGAGCTCCCTGAAAGTCCTTGACGCCAGCCGGGGAGACAGACTACTACTAGTACTACAGTAGTACTCGTACTCAGGAAATGCTGCTTCGATGGCGCAGAACGTGCCAATGCCAACATCTAATCAAAGCCGCCCACCTTAATTCCCCCCGTAGCTGATGGGCCCCCGCTGAAGACCCCTGAAGCTCTAACCAGACACAGCTCTGGCGTTGAGCCGGGGTCAGTACGGCGTGAAGATTCGACAACGGTGGAAACGCAAATTGGGCACTACGACGCCGTAGACCAAAGCTAGCTGCAGCTGCTTGATGCGTTTCCCGAATTTGATCTTCGGGCTTCACTCTTTCCTCTGCTTTGGTCTTTTCTCGTCCTTTCTGATCCTGCTTGTGCGCGTCTCTTCTTCCTCAGCGTGTCCAGTTTTTGCGTTTTGTTGTTCAATCAGTGTCACGAAAGAGAACGACAGGCTTCGTCCGTACTCGAGTTCCCGGCGATCAGATCAGCCACATGTCGAAGTAACGGTAAGACGAAAGGAAAGCATCCGTCATAGCCATTTTCCTTTTCTCGACGCGAAATCCGATAGACGACGGTATGCCCCTTCATACTCAGCTCTATACATGGGATGTTCAGTCATACGAACTCCCTCGTCAAGCCATTGATTTGCCGCAATGGCTCGTCGCCGAACTGGGGTTTTAAGATGAACACAATGGCTGATTGTTCTGGCGTGTACAGTATTTTACGAGAAAACGATATCCCGAATCTTCGTCACCGCGATTTCTCGCGCCAATCATCGCATTTCGCCGTCTGCTGTCTCAGTTACAGCTCACAGGACATTCTCTGCCTTTCGAATACACCCACTCTGCAGCGCAGTAGCTAAAAGTCGGACTCGATATGAACATTAGACACGGATGAAGCAATAATTCCTCGCAAAGCTTGACCAGGATTTCGACCCAAGGCGTTGTTATGAAATATTCAGAAGATCCCTAAAAGCCCTGTGCTTCGAAACTCGACCGAATCGTATTTTATGCCATAGACCTTGAGTTTCCAAAAGGTACGCATCGCTGTGGTCATAGCTCATCATTCCCACCGCTTTGCCTGCGGTCGTTGTTCCTTCCAAAAGTTGCTTGGTCGTGAGTACAACTGATGTTTACTTAGTCTTGTATAATCAGTTTGATTGTTCTGCTGCATCGTTTTGCAGTGACAGATGTACATACCATCGTACGTTCGTTGCTTCTTCATGCTGGCCAGACCCCGCGTGCACTGATCGGGATCCCTGCCGCAGCCGATGTTATTTCACTGACATATATCAAAGCGTTTTAAGCCATTGTTGAATGAAATTCCCCGATTCGACTCGGCGCCGATCCGGTAATCAACGCATTTCCAAAACAGGTCCAAGAGCACGAGTTTCTAGGATTCACCTGCCGTGAAATTGAATCCTTTCCAAGGGTGTCCTCGAACCTTCAACCCGCTTTCCGTCGAAACAGTCATTGATACAATTGCGGGTACTTTCCTCATTGATGTCGAGAATCTGACAGATTTCGTCTGATGGGTGTTGGTGTCTTGTTCTAGACTTAGAGTTCTGCCCAAATCCAACATGACAGCCTGGGAGACCGAAGATGAGTATGCTGCTGCTGCTCAAGCTTCACTCCCCACACCAACAGACACTCCCTATAGAACCCCGTCGAGAGGGTCGCGCCGTTCGTCGCGCCAAAAGTCGATCTCTCCAGGCCCATCCTCGTCTCCTCCGCCGTTGCCAACGGGCGAGAAAAATCGCCGAGGGTCCAAAGATGTAACCAATGATGAGAGGTAGTTAATTGCTTTATTCCGAGAATTCATGCAAAACTGACGCTTCCAATAGTATTTCGATTCTCGATCCAAGACGATTTACTCCAACACTACATGCAAATTTAGTCTCCGAAATCCTCGCACTTCGAAGAGATCAAGAGGAAAAGATTAGGACGATTGAGCACTTGGAGACGGACCTACATAATTCTAGAGGAGATCACGAGGAACTGGATGCGACGTTGGTCGCTACTTCGAAAGAGAATCGATCGTTGAAGCGCCAATTGGCTCTCTTAGAAGGTGGAACCTCTTCCGCGCTTTCGGAACTTGCCAGAGAGCGCGACGAAGCCGTAGATGCTAATGCCGAAAGCAAGCGAAGAGTTGAGACTCTGCAGAAAAAGGTCCGGAGTCAGGAGGAAGATTCGGATCGTGTCCATGAACTATGGGCAAGAGACAAGGACAACTGGGAAGAGGAGAGGAGGAAGCTGGAGCGCAAAGTTCATGTCGCCGAAACACGCTTGAAGACGGTTTTGGATGAAGTTACCACATACCAAGCTCAGACAAATGGCCATCTTCAAAATGAGAGCGAGGCTGAAGAGACATCGAGAGATCCTGTTCACGGCCATGGAAGCGATGCAGCGAGTGTACGGACGATGAGTATGACCAACAGTATCCGTTTCTCGATGTTGAATGGACCTAATGGGTACGGAGGAAGCAAATTAAATGGCGTCAGCTTAGCGGATGAGCTTGACCTAGATGAAGACGAAGATGAGACGGATCACGATGGCCGTGAAAGTATCATATCTGTCAGACACAAGAGGAATCAGAGCCGTGAGAGTATGATGTCCAGAAATCACCGCCGAAACCAGAGTATGGAGAGCCTCATGCGACCTGGCAGTGTTGCAAGAGGCAGGGCTCTTGCTCAGCAAGCAGTCCTCGAGAGGCTGGAGGGTGGTATCATGGAAGACGATGAGACAGTACCTGTGAAAGTGGAATATACCGACACTGGTATTCAATACTCACCTCCTCCATCGCCCAAACTTCCTGCAGCCGAGCTCACCTCGGTCGTTGAGCCACTCGCAGTCGATATCGCAGCTACAAAGGTTGAACGACAAACGGAAACTCCAGTTCCTCGAGAGTGGGAAATTGAGGCCAACCAGCGAAGAAAGCGAGTGCATGTGAGTCCTCCGCTGGTCATCGAACCTCCAACTTCTTCGATGGTATCTGCAGCTTCGCAAACTCTGGAAGATCCTTTGAGTCCTCCAAGAACACCTATATCACCTACCAGAACCCCACCCCCGCCACCAATAGAGGACCGGATGCATGAAATGACTTCAATTTCTACGCAAACAGACGTTCCCGAAATACAAACACCACTGCCGTCTCCCAGGCGAGCCCCGCCGCCACCACCTATACCCATCCCATCCATACAGTTACATCCTCCAAACTCCGCCCCTGCTACACCTCATGAGCCCCTACTTCCCCAGCATTTCAGAGATGCCGGTTGCCAAGTTGCTATGCAGATACCCATCCCGACAAGGTCCATCTCTGTTCAGACCGAGGAAATTCGAGTTGCACAACGCATCAACTTGCTCCCGCCGCACCTTCAACCGTCTGCAATTTCTTCCAAACCCCCCTCGCCGGAGCCAACTGAGGAACAGACCAAACGATTTTCTCCCGTACCAGGGAACTTACCTCCCAGAAACCCTCGCCGTGTGAAGAGTCGTACAAGCATAGAACAGGAGATTCCCTCTTCACCTCCAGAGCTGCCAAGTGAGACCAGAGATGCCTACCCTGGGAACAATGATGACGGACCGTTATCGAAAGATAGAAGCTCTATTCGACGCCCACACAGGATCAGCAGTTTGTTTGCTGGATTCGATAATGTGAGTTCTGAAGATGCAGAGGACTTTGCGGATGCCGACATGAGCGACAATGATTACAGAACGGCATTGTCTGCCCCTAAGCCACAGCCTGGAGGGCACAGACAGAGCAAACGTGTTTCATCACCACCAACCTCGGTTCCTGAACATGGTGAACTTGCAGAATTGGCCCGGCCTGTGTATGGAAGAAATTCTAGGCAAGCAGCAAACGACTTGCATGGCGAATCGTTCCCAGAGGTACAGGAGCTGCCGTCAAGATCCACAAAGGCTTCTGTTCGTCAGCTTGACAAGCCACTGACTCTGGTCACCAACAACAAGCCGTCGACAATGCGTCGAGCTGCCCTTATACAAAGTGGTGTGGCTGCTCATCAAGGACGTGCTAGAAGCCCAAGTCTTCCGGAAGCTGTCAAGGAGCCTCCTTTCCCTATCCCGACCAGAGCTAGTTCCAGACGACCTCCTATCAGCGCTAGTGCTCCAAGTGACGGAAATCGTAGCCCGACTTGGGGACGAGGATCTGGCTCGAACAGAGGCGGGCCTTATCGTTCGAACAGCATCAGGAAGGTCAGATCTGCTGCTGCGCTTCCTCGCGGGGGACGTGGGAGCTACAGACGTCATGGTAGTAGATCACCGCCGCCCATGTCAGCCTCTACAGAAGCGCCTGAGAGCCCTCAACTACCCCCTATGCCAAACAACGATGTTACTACCCCTCGATACATGCGAGATACAGGGAGTAGCCGCCACCGTTCACATCAGAGACAGCAGCCATCTACGACTACGGCACACACTACAAACACCAATAATACTACTGGCTCTGTTGGAACTACAAACAATGCTACTAGTGTTGTTGATGCAATTGCCCAGACGATGGTAGGAGAATGGATGTTCAAGTACGTCAGGCGGCGCAAGTCGTTTGGCGTTGCAGAGTCGAATGGTATGGAGGGCGACAACGCTAATGGTGTCCGACATAAGCGCTGGGTTTGGCTTGCGCCTTACGAGAGAGCTGTGATGTGGAGCAGCAAGCAGCCAACTTCAGGATCGGCCTTGATGGGCAAGACTGGTCGGAAGCGTAAGTCTAACCTCCTTTCCAACTTTGCATATCAACTGACCTCAACAGTGACAATTCAATCTGTTCTGGACGTCAAGGATGACAACCCTCCTCCGAAGGGATCACCTGCATTGTTTAATCGATCTATATTGATTCTAACTCCAGCTCGTGCCCTGAAGTTCACGGCCACATCACCTGAACGCCATTACATCTGGCTGACGGCCCTCTCCTTCTTAGCCCACTCATCTCAAGCAGTTCCTGAAATTGTTCAAGCACCGCTCCCACTGCCTCAACCATCGCTGCCAGACTTCGAGTTGCCTCGAAATTCTAACCGTCTCCGAAAGCATGGCATACGAGACTCGATTCGTGTTGCTAAAGGGAAGACAGTGGTAGCTCGCCAAGGGCCTACTAGTGTTCATTCATCACATAACGAAGCAGAGTCGATGTACTCGAGATCGGATCCTCTGCAAGATAACTCAGCCGATCCCCCTATTGTACCTCGCTTCTCAGAAAGGGGTCAATATTCTGTACCATCACTACCAACTCATGGTAGAAAGCGCAGTAACACTGGTGGGCGAGTTCCGCCACCCCTCTCATTTCGAGGGTTCTCAGGGCCGTCCAGTAGCGGGCATGCTCCAACATCCAGTACGGCTGGAATGAGTGTCGGCACAACCGGCTCATCAGATATCTACCAATCCCAACCTTCGAGTTCAGTGGCTGGCGGGTACACAGGGATGAGTGTCAGCGGCCGCTCTTCGATTCGCACATCAGACGCCAGCAATCGGCCTGGCACTGTCGTCAACAATTTCTTCGATGCAGTTGGAACCATGCGAATGGAAGCCTTCATCAGCCCTATGGCAATGAGCCGCTTTGACGACTTCCCTGACGAGCAAGACGAGATGGATATGGTCGGGCAGCAGAGGCGTCGCAGCAAGGAGCGTAGGAGACGCAGCAGAAACAGAGACAGCTATTACTCCAACAAAGGCCGACCAAGTGATGATTGGTATGGAGGAAGCAAGACGGCTGGGGAAGAAGATTACGGTCACTTTGATGGTGGGTTCGGCCATGATCCCTTCCGGGGCTTCTAAGCGCGATTCCCGTGAGAGAATTGAGAATGGAAGAAAATCGTGAAGAAGAAGCGAACAGAATGTACATTCTTGGTAATGTACAGCAAGGTAGATAGGCAGAGGTCGATATGGGAATGGGGTACGGGTTCACGGCGTTCACACGAAAATGGCTCACGCCTGCAGTTTCGTCCTTTTTTGATTTTGCAGCTTAGCTTGCTTGGCTTTGCTTTTCTTCTACTCGTTCGTTTTTGATTTTGGGATTAGGGCCCCGGGAGGGGCAGGCGGGCACGGAGTTAATGTGTATATTTGTGTACAGGCGAGGCAGGGTGGCCACCTACCTCTCGCCTAGGGCTATTTTTCTGTACAAAGGAACTGTTGTCACTCGCTAGCTCAAGATCCCTTTTGTCGCTTTCTCGAGGGGCTGAGGGGGGTTTTGAGTTTGCTTGGATCTTTGCGGGGTTTGGGATGATGTGGATGGATTCTAATTCTTGGACTCGATGTGCGGATACCCCTATCTTCGCGGTTTGGTGGATTATTTGTTTTTGTGGGTGAGTGTACATTTGTATGTAGGACATTTGGAAAAGTGGAGATGGATCAGAAAAGTATATACTTCTTCTACTTGCGGGTATCGCTCATTGTGTTCTTGGCCTGGTTTGCTAGCTGTGACTTGTTGACTTCGACCTCGTTCAGGTACAGCATGCCCTCTCTTCAGGTGTCTCGGCAGGTCAGGACCTACAAAGTCAACATCAAGTCTCACTCGCTGAAATACTTCTAAAAGCCATTAACACCGCCAATATGCCCAACGAGAGTGGATTTGTAGATTTTGATCTTCACAATGCCATTCCCTCACTTGCCAGAAAAGTGATTTGCATCACCGTAGTACGTACGTCGCCCGTCACTTTCGAAGTCTGACTGAAACATTATGAACAGGAAGAGTTGGGTTAGGGTCATACCTTTGCGAACACAATCCAGAACACATCTGATTCACCGGCGCAATGCCCTCGGCGCGAGCAAAGTCACAGATAAAATGAAAAGCGCAACACCCTCAGCCATATTGATGAGCATATTGACTATTGGCGGCCTCTCGGAGGAGGCACTGGACAAGATTGAGCGGTGATGTTATCTGATAGGGGAACTTGGCGTCTGGTTGCAGCACAGCTCAATCACATTAAGACCCGCAGAACAAAAGACTGTAAGCAGTTCCAAAATGGAACGTAACAAAACGAGATACGTCGAGAGACACTTACCAGATGTGGCGGTTTCGATAGTCGCATCCCTGACTATAATAACTGGAAGCTCACGTGAGAATGAGGAGGTTCATTGATAATATCATCAAACTCGCTATTTTCAAATTAAAAGGCTATTTTTTCATGCTTGAAACTCTTCTGCCCTGCTCCCTCCCCATACTCCAGCGATACCTGACCACCACCTCGGATCTTGTACTTATAGATCATTAGACCTTCCAAGCCGACTGGACCTCTCGCGTGGATCTTGTTGGTGCTGATGCCCACTTCTGTCCCGAAACCAAAACGCATGCCATCTGCCATACGGGTTGATGTGTTCCAAAACACTCCTGCAGAGTCTATACTTGCCATAAACTGCTCGGCCAGAGGTGCAGAGGAGGTGAGAATTGCGTCGGTGTGGTGAGAGCCATGGAAATTGATATGCGAGATGGCATCGGAGATGTTTGGGACTGCCTTAATAGCCAACACGAGAGAGAGGTGCTCAGTATCGAAGTCAGCCTCCTCGGCATCCCGCAGAATGACCGAGGAGTGTGACGAGAGCTTAGCGGTGAGTGCTTTCTTGCTTGCTGCATCGCACCGAAGCGAGACGCCCTTCGCTAGTAAAGCTTCAGCAACAGTTGGAAGTACCGTTCCCAAGGCGGAATCCTCAACCAGAAGCGTTTCAACACTGTTGCAAGCGGCAGGATATGAGGTTTTTGAGTCGACGATAACTTTAGTTGCTAGTGCTGGATCGACTGTATGTTCCAGATAGATCGAGCAAATACCATCGGCGTGACCGAGAACTGGGATCTTGGTGTTGGATTTGATGTAGCGGACGAGCTCATTCGAGCCTCTAGGAATGACCAGGTCGATATACCTATCTTGCGCAAGGAGTTGAGGAATAACATCTCGAGTGGTGACAAGTTGGATGGCGGTATTTGGTACTTTTGTGGATTCTAATGCCTTCGAAATGACTTTCGAGATAGCAATGAATGACTCCGTTGATTCCTTTCCGCCTACAAGTCGTGACTAGGAATCCTTTCATATTTATGAGAATTACTTACCTTTGAGAATTGCCGCATTGCCTGACTTGATAGCAAGCGAAGCAATATTGGCGATAACTTCAGGGCGAGCTTCAAATATAATTAGAAGCACACCAATTGGGCAAGAAACCCTCTCTAAATCAAGGCCATCATCAAGTCTTGTCCGCAAGGTGACTTTTCCAACTATGATTTTCTATGTTAGCGAAGTTTGTGGAAGTCAACACAGAGCAGCACGACGTACCAGGATCCTCAAGCTCCCGAACATCTAATATGCCCTTCAGCATATCCTCCCATTTTCCTTTCTTTCCCAAGTCTAATCGTGATACAATACTGAGACTCAGTTCTCCATTTTCAGCAGCTTTATGAGCCAATTCTAAATCCTTAGCATTAGCAGCTAGAATTTCCTCTTTGGATGCAGAGAGAGCCGCATGGATTGCTGTCAAAGCATCGTTCCGGGAAGAGGTTGGCAAGGTTGCCAGGATATGTGATGCCGCCTTTGCTCCTTTTGCAGCATCTTCTGGGAGAGCGTTGGTGAGAGACATGATTGAATATGAGTACCTTCTTGTAGGATTGAATACCTACTCCCGAAGCATGACTCAAAAATATATTGGGTGCCACTACAAAGAGTTGAGGTCGCCACATCAAAGACGCTAAGCAAGCGAGCTCTCGGGCCGACTTATCTCCGGTCTGGGGAACCTCTGCCTATCGTGAATTCGAGTGGCAGCCTTGTCGAAATCAAAACCAAGCTACAACGACACAAGTCCTGAGTTTCTTATCGACAGTCAGAGAGCAATACTCGAGGCACAGCTGTCTGAATAGCTTTGACTGTCTGCCTGTTTCCTCCAGCATTACCAGTTGTTTCCAAAGAACAAAGTTCTCCAGATCTATCGTCACTGGAGCTTGGATAGAGCTTCACCCCACCGACGTACCGTTTTCGAGCTCTGCAAACGCGCACAAGCAAGCTACCTGCAATCTCAATCTCTCAAAAGACAGCTACAATGGATGACCTGCTATCGAAACTCCTCTCGTTTCCTCCTCATCCGCCTCCTCATATTCCTCTCTCCGACCAACAATACGATGATGGCATCAAGGACCAGATCGAGACCGTGAAGAACATTTCCGGGCAAAAGATGCTACAACAAACATCTGGTGGTGAGAATATGTTAGAGGTAGGACTTATTGGCTATACTGAACTCGGAAAAAATCTAACGTGTATTGAAAGGTCATCAATCCGGCTCTCAACACGATTCCTTACGCTTTCTGTTTGGTTGCCAACCTCGAAGCAGTCGTCAAGAACACTGGCAAGGGCGTGAATATGGATACACTGTGGGGAAAGATGATTGAATTCCTGGATGTGTTTGATGCGAGGCAGATCAGATATATTGGCGAGGAATTCAGCTACATTATACAAGGTGTGGAGGAGTTTGCACGCAATTCTCGACAGGTATGTTTACTTTAGTTGATTATGAGGTTACAAGCCGCTGAAAGTGTTTAGGGATATCTCGCAGTCGCTCCAATCAGAAATGCAATCCTACGCCTGGATCCCTCTGGAAGTATGCTCACTGCAAATCATATCATCCTAGCCAAACTCGCACTAGAGACACGAAACTACCAAGATGCTGCGCCGGTCCTGAAGAAGTTTATACTATACGTTCCGGGCTATTCGGCACTACCCAGACCAAAATATCCGTGCGACATGACTCTCAGTCCTGCCGCTTTCATCACACCTGCAAGTAAACTCAACACGAAGCTTAAATACCAAGATGTCCTCGAATACTTCTTGTACAGCGGAATGGTACACATTGGGTTAAGGGACTGGGAAAATGCATTTCACTGCTTGGAGAGCGCTGTCACGTATCCGACCAAGGATATGTCTCCCAGTAAGATAATGATAGATGCTTACAAGAAATGGATTCTTGTTGGCCTGTTGTTAGAGGGAAGATTACTGCCTCTACCGAAGTCAACCAGTAGCGGCCCGTCAAAGAACTATCATACCCTAGCGAAGCCTTACGAGACCCTCGCCCAGATATTCGAGAATGGTTCCGCATCAAGACTGAAGTCTGAAGCAGATGCTGGCGTAACATGGTGGAGAAATGATAGCAACACAAGCCTGGTTCTTCAAGTTCTGGCTGCTTATCAGCAGTTTCAGATCCGTCAGTTGGCCAACATCTACAGCAAGATCTCGATCCCCGAAGTTGTCAGCTTGACTACGAGCGCCGAGACTGGATACAAGTTGACAACACCTCAAGCAGGCGAAACTCTTGTTCAGTCCATGATCCAACGCGGTGATTTACATGCCACGCTCAGCCGTCCTCCAACTGGTCCTCCAATCCTCACTTTCTCTCCCTCCGGAACTGCTTTGTCGGAGCCGCAGATGCAGAGAGAATTGGCAGCCTCAACAGCACGCATTCAAGCCTTGACTAACGAGATTAAGCAAACCGACCGTATGCTCACCCATGACACCCAATACATCAAGTTTGTTGTGAAGCAGAAGAAGAACAAATCGACTGGCGAGGAGGGACCTATGCAAGAGTGGAATGAGATTACCGAGGACGAGGATATCATGGCGATGTACTGAGCTACTTCAGTTACGGCACACGTGGAACGAAAAGTTGGTGGACTTTTATCTGGTCATCTTCCGTCTGACTGGACCTGGAGGATGACATATTGATCTTGACGAGGAAATGCATAATGAAGAATGAAGGATGACAGAGCGAGGGTGTTGCTGTGTGCTAAGCCGGAACTTTTGGTTCCTTGTTTGTCCGAGCAAGTGGCGGGCGTATTGCATGAGGCTGGCTAGCTGCATTCAATGGAGGATAGCGTCGAACGACATATAATATCATGAGAGATGGCATGGCCATTGTTTGGTCGATAGCAATAAGCGAAAAATGTCTATTTGGGATGAACTTGGTGAGAGGGAGGTGGATCAGATACCAGAATAAACTATCGATGAACGACTCTGACACATTTCACACATTGCACTACTTGAACTTTGTGCAGTACTCGTTCCAAAAAACACCTATTCCGTAATTAACATCTTGGCCAGTGGCAGCATTCATGCACAACTTCAAATCTCATGGAAAAAGTACTTTCATTTGCTCATTCACAGGATAGCTACTACCAGTGCAACCAAAAACGCCAGGATAATCAGAATCCGACCACCACGTCTCAAGAATCACCCACATTAGCCGTTTCGTCATCCTTCCATAATCTACAATGAAGTAGACTTGATCATGCATGCAATATGCTCTATTCTGACTCCTTTAACATTCCCTTGACCGCGGGACCGAGAGCCCCAAATATGATAACCGGCAGCACCACACATTTTAGTCGAGGCTATAAGTTTTGATAAGGGCTGCAAGCTTGTTGGCCTCAACGGCGAAGTTGATAGGAGTGCCATTCATAACTTGGTAGCGCACTCTGTGATATGGATTAGTATAGTTCTGACAATTGGAAGGTGGAAAACAAACCTCTGTTGATCCTGGAAACTGTCCATCTTGGCTCTGCATTTGAAGGTCAAAGTCTTGCAATTTGCATTCTCGAAAGCCTTTTCCATAGCAGCAGTGTCGTTTTCTTTCAACTCCATGAGTTGATCTCCGCTCATACCCATGACCTGGCGTCCAACATCATCAAAGCAACTCAACCACAGCTGACCCGTGTGATCACTGACATTCAGTGACATGATATAACGGTACTCTGGTCTTGGGTGACTAGCATTGCACTTCTCACAATTCCACGTGCCATCTCCCATGTCGACGACCTTCTTGTTGCAGCCATCGTTCAAGCATGCTGGGTATGCAAAGTTATCTTGTTTGATGTAGACAATTGTGCCTCTAACCGAGAAATAGTCGGCGTTCTCAGACATTCCCAGATTCTCCTCCTTGACTGCAGCAATGGTCTTCAACGGATCACCACGACCACCGGCAGCTCCAGCACCGGACATGCTATTGTGCGTAGCAAAGCTGTCCATCCGACCCTGGGAATCATACCATCCCTTTAGCTTGTGGGCTTCTGGAATATCAGGATCAATAGCCATTGTGCCAGAAGAGAGTAAGCTCAGACTGCGACCACCGAAATCTGAGACTTTGGTACCCTTGAAAGCGATGATTGACTCGGGATTAGCATCGAAGGAGACTGCTGATTTGCCCCAGATCGTTAGCCTGACTGAATAACCTGTGTCATCAACCAGCGTAAGTTCGCGCTTGTCGAAAGGTTGTTGAGTTGTCTTCGATACGATCTGATTGACGTCGGCAACTTCCTTCAAAACACCAATGATATCGATTGTTGAGTCCTTCTCAATATCCTGTAAAGCTGAGATAGTGGTGAAGTTATATCTGATTTGAGGTACATTGTCCTGGTCCTCGGCCTTCTCCACCACGGTATCTCTCTCGAAGGTAAGTTCGTAGTCATTGGCAAGATTCGAGAACTGTTTCTTTGCGAGTTGCACTCGGCAAGGGTTTGAGATGTAATAAACCGAGCCTTCCTGGAATGTGTCGTAGAGCATGTCACACTGCTCATTGAAGCCGGTTGCCTTGATTTCGCCACTCTCATCCAGAAGATTGACACTAAAGAGCTTTCCTTCACTGCTTGCCTTCTTCCATGTCTTGATGTCCGACTTCTGCGTTACTCGAGCTTTAATGGTCCATTTATGAGCATAGGGTGATAGGCCTTCGATAGGGTATATATTCGCATGGGATGAAGAGCTCGTAGGTCCAGAACGCGATGGCAGGGCTCTTTCTTGGACAACCGGAGCAGGCTTGGTCTGGTTACCATAAAAGCCGTTGCCAGCAATAGTCGTGTTCGTAGGCTTGATATCTGCCTCGTCCTTCACTGTGAGAGCGACTGGTTCTCCAATCTTTTCGAGTTCGCCCAAGCTCTCTATAACTTCAAGATCCAGGATGATTAGAATTCTAGGCTAGTAAGCACAAGTCTTGAGATTATACACATTCTCACGAACCTTTTGCCCTTGACAGCATTTGCTTGGTATTGCTTGAGTCTCACGATGCATCCCTTTTTCAATTTTCCTTCGTGCACAACATGATTTGCCTCTGGAACGGAGTTAGCAGGTTTGACAGATTAATTTGTCAGCGTAACCTACGGGTTGCAAGCATGCTCTGAACAAAGTTGTCCATATCGCTCAGAACTAGACGATATCTATCTGGTGCGCCATCTCCACTAGATTGAAGAGTCTTGATCTGCACGCACTGGCAGACTGGGACAGGATATTGTCTTTCGAGGGCGGCGGGGTCGTTGAAAATAGCACTGGGAAAGATTAGCAGAGTTCATGTTGTCGGAATACATTATCCTACTTCAAGGCTCCTCGTGAAATCTGAGCTCGGGCTGCGTCTGTCATTTTGAGTGCTTCGGTGTTGTCTGTCTGTAGGTGTTGTGGCAGATTTGAAATGTTCTGTTGACTTGGACGCGCTTTTTCAGAACGCGTCGAAGGGAAGGATGGCAGTGGCGTGTAAAGTGGCTCGCTAATAGTGGCGGTGATGACTAGACTGCAAAAGCGGCACGGCATCAGGCTGTGATGAGGAGCTGGCTTGATTGCCGCTTTTGTGTCCTCATCAACCCCACTCGCAGCTGCGAAGGCAGATATACCTTAGCTGTCCTTAGAAGCTCTCAGCATTTACAACTTTGATAGCAAACATCACTAACTAAACGCAATCCGCAATCATGGCCGAACCAGAAGTTGCTACGAAGGCACCCGAAAGTGATGCCGCAGAAGTTCCAGCAGTACCTGAAAGCATCGTCCCAGGAGACACACCCGCGCAAACTGGCGCTTCAATGGGAGGTCTAGGAGAAGTAAGGTCACTCCTCTGGAGCACGGCGCAATGCTAACACGTTACAGCACTGTGTAAAGGATAGGCCAACTCGTCAGTACTTCTACAGCTTACTTGCACAAAATGCGCCGAACAAGACAGCATGTGCTGACTTGAAGCAGCTTTTGGAGTTGGACCAAGCGGGGAAATGACACAACTTGGAGGCATAGATGTTTACGTCTCGAAGCCGGCCGACTACCCTCATGCACCGTCAAAGCTCCTACTTTTTCTTACCGGTGCGACGGGTCTCCACTCGGAAAACAACCAGATCCAAGCGGACAGATTTGCAAAAGAGGGATACCTGGTCGTTCTTCCCGATATGTTTTCGGATGATCCTCTACCAGGCTCAGCTACATACGAGGAGGAGAAGGACCCATCTATCATTGAGCAGATCAAGATGCGTGCGGCTGAGACGGCGAAGTCATTCTTGATCGACATGTGGCTGGCACGACAAACACCAGAAAAGGTCCTCCCAATTCTTCACAAGGTTATGGATGCCGCCAAGGACGAATTCGCGGATGCTGTTGCCAATGGCGGAGGAATATACTCAGTCGGTTACTGCTTCGGAGGTCGGATGACATTGCTCCTGGCAGGCGAGAAACCAGACACTGTCTTATGGGGGCAGCAAGTCAAGGACGAAGAAGCGGGTGTTGTCAAGAAAGGTCCATATATCAAAGCCGGCGCAATTGCACACGCAACATTGGTTACCAGGGAAGATTTTGAGGGCACTAAATCACCATTGGCATTTATCTGCGTTGAGAATGACCAACTGTTCGCGGAAGAGATTAAGGAACATGGCGAGAAGCACTTGAAGGAGAACAACATTGAGTGCGAGTTCAAGACGTACTCCGGCGTACCACATGGATTCGGCGTCGTAGGAGAGTACGAGGATGCAAAGATTAAGGTAGCGCAAGCCGAGGCTTTTGATCAGATGCTAGCTTGGCTGGATTCTCATTGAAGGGTATGCACTTGGCGTTCGGTATGATATCAGGTACAACGAATTGACTATTTTTGAATTCCTCTCATTGAAAAGCTGCGACTTTCAGTCTCTCTTTTCCTCTTCTGGTTTTGACGTCGTCTGTCAAGGATACGGATGCTTCAGATTCGGGTTATTTGGGAAGTCGTGAGCTTTTGGACTCTCAGAGCAGGTAGTGCACTTCCCCTCCTCTTAGTCTGCCGACAAGCCAACGACTTTCTTGTCACATTCTTTCTCCTTCCTCGGTTTCTCACCCTAGCCAGGGCTCAGCCATGTACCGGTGCCGAGAACAACATCCACTGGGCATATCTACAGTACTAGAAGGCCAATCACTTCCCCAAATCTCGCGTCCTCCTTCCTTGTCCTTGAAATCAAACAACGAACCTCTCGCAAAACCCCCTTCGCAAAACAACCGCCCACTCAGAAGTCAGGAAGACAGCCAGAACATGCAAGGAGCATGAAAATTCCACGACTTCCATGACAAGTCTACACGAAAACAGCCTCCCAAAACACATGAAACCTCCGAAATTCCGAGCTCGTTGTCGCAGATCACGACGAAGACCCACTTGCACCTCGCTTACGGACGCTAAATAGCTCGCCGAGCCAAAACACCCCCTTTCGCTTCGACGTTTCGTTTCTTTCCACATGTCCCCCACGCACTTTGCGTGTGCTTCAGCCTCCCTCTGGTTTACAAAGTTCTCACCATGCAGCATCAGAATCTCATTTACAAGCTCCCCTCATGAGCTCTATTCACAGGGACCTGTTGAAAGCAGGTAGATAATGAGTGAGCATACAGAAAATCCAAGCGAGAGTCAGGGGCTTCCTCCTACCCAGACTTTAAAGATCAGATGAGGCGAAACCGCCATGACACTCTTCGAGCATCAACACCACGGGCGCGCACGGCTAAGCCTGCCCTCCCACCACTGAAATCCATACTTAGAACGATCGTCATCACGCCTCACCGAAGAGGAAATAGTGCGTTCGCTCCATATTTTCTTCCCTATCTCTCTCTCTCCCTCTCCCTGTGAGCCCGTTTCGCTGTTCGCCGTCGTGGAGGAAGTCCGTCTTGGAACCTAGCCTTTCCTGATAAGCATGCGCATTCCCCCCTCTCTTCTTTTCGCCTCTTTCCTCCGCCCTCACCACCTCATCGCGCCGTTCAATTCTCAGCTTTGAGTAGATCAAGCGCAGGACGTTGCCGATTCTGGGAATTGGGAAGAACTGGTTTCTTTTGGACTGGACTTTTCGATTCTTCATTTTACGGTTCTTTTATTGACCCTTTTTTGTGTTTATACCTACTTCTTAGGTGAAGTGTGGTCTCTTATATTTTTACCTTCATCCGAGAAAAATCTCCTGGAGAGATAAGGTTGCCTTTGAGATCTGGAATCATGTTCATTTCTAATCTTTTAATCTTGGGAGGTGGAATGTTGATGGCGGCGACGGGTGTGGAGGCTAGGGCGATTGGGAAGCTCTCTTTCTTGCGTAAGTCTTGCTTTCTGCTTTGCATAATCGATTCCATTGAAGTCTGTTTATCGAATCCTCTCTTTTCTTGACTGGGAGAGACGTTTATTGTGTAGGGTACGTGAGATGTAGGCATGTGGAGAATTCCCAGTGGATGTGGAGGGATCAGCTTCTTGGTACTTCTTGATGTCTCTTGTCATCTTTGTTGGCTCCACAATCTTCATGGCTAGATGTCGTATGTCAGATATGCGTGAGATCTGTCGATGTCCTTCTCAACCCTCAATCGTTGCTCTCGCAACTCTTGGCCTCTCTTTGTGTCCTATCATTCCCCCTCATCTATGCCCAGCATTTCCTCAACCCTCATATACGTACTCAGGAAAACATATACTAACATACCCATCCTCACAGCTCACCTCCCATTCTCCACAAAATCATCAACGTCAACACCCCCAGCAACCCTCTCCTCAACCGCCCAAGACTCCCAGCAAACCTGCGCATTCACACCTCACGTCCCCCTCCGAACAACCCAATCCGCCTTCTCAATCCCCGACTCCGCATGGCCACTCCTCCGAACCCTCCTATCCACACACATCATCCCTGAGTCCGCATCGTTATCACCTCCATCCTCACCAGAATCCCAAACCCAAACCCAAGCCTCAACTCAGCAAGACATCGACCAACAAGAATTCATCCTCCACAACTCCGTACAAACGCTCCACCTCCGCGACTTCACCGACGACGCCTCCCTCGAAGGCCTCGTGCTCGGTCTCGTATTCAGCACCGGCGAGCAAGACGCCTCCTACAAGGAACTCCGCTCGCTACCTGAGAGCGCGCAAGAAGTGCGGAAGAGAGGCGCGGTGAATGGAGAGGGCGAGCAGGAGCGGAGGAGCTGTATTGAGGAGGCTGTGAGGAAGGTGGAGGAGGAGAGGGTGATGGAGGGGGTGTTGGAGTTGGATGGGCGAGGGGGGACGGTAGGGTTTCTGGTTTATAGGGTTGATTGATTGATTGATTTCGGGTAGAGGTTCGGGATGCGATGGGGGGAGGCAGATGACAGCAGCAGAAGCAAATAGCAAACAACAAGCAGCGAGCACGAATGTATGAAATGCACTGATCTTTATTTTCGTCCAACTATCCGTCGTCAAGCAGACAAGTCATGCTTTTGTCTGTTCCGACTCTGATATCTCTCGTGACTTGACCGACAACAATACTAGCTGGTTACATTCGTATAGGGAGATATCGCGCAATCGAAATCCACTACTTGTCACATGAGTGCGCCCAGAAGTCAAGAAATACTCCATCTCTCCCCAGCTCAAGTTCAAATCAAGTATCAAACATAGACTTCGCCCCAACTTCCAAAGTCAGTCCAAAATTTTCGGAGAATTTTATTCCCGCATTTTCCTCTCGGCGGCCTACTCATGCAGTATGTATGCAAGCCTTCAATACAAGTGCGCAGCGCCGGCAGGAGTGCAGGTCCCAAGAGTGTCCTCCTTAGACTGCATACCTTGGGTTGCATAGCTGCATCTGGGGAGCATGAGGAGTGCGTTCTCGTTGGCTCGGGTAGCTAGACTAATGAGGTAACTTGTTTGGGTACATGATTTAGTCTGCTGTGTGATGGTGTCTAGACTGCAAACAGGTCGTGAGCCAACTGAGAGCTACTATAGAACTTGCATGCGTAACGGAATACTCAGCAATCGGCAACGCCAAATGCTACACTCCTTTCTCTTGCACATGCTGGACTGGCACTTGCCGATGTCAGGTTGCGAACTTTCACGTGGAATACAATATCACAGGAGTATCTAAAAAAATGGATCACACACAAGGCAGATAAAAATAAGTGATAGATGGAACAGATATTTCGTCATGATTGAACAACACAGACAGCTTTTATTTCTCTCATAAAGTCGTTCAGTACATAAAGAAGCCAGTGGTCGATCAACTAGCTAGCTGGTCGAAGTCGAGGTCGTTTGTTTCGGTTAGATTCGGTAGAGAAGAAAGGAGACAAAAGTAGTAGAGCTGTAGCCAACAGAAGAAAATAACAAACAGCCAGGAGAGTCATAAGGGTCATCATAAAGTGTAATCGACTCAAGGAAACAAATGACAAGTCGAGGGAGACGAAAATGCACTGGTCGGGGAAAGCATCCGAGTTTGGGCGTCTGAATCATCAAGACAGCGCCAGCTCGGTTTCCCTCAAACGCGTCTGGGGATCATAACAGACGTTTTAGCCATCTCGCCCTCTGTACTCCTCCGTTAATTCCCACGCCTAGAGTCCCAGGCACGCCACGTCACGCCGCCGAACAAAAAGACAACGCTTGCAATGTAGTATATGGGTTGGAAATCGTCTCGTGTGGATCGTTCCCGGTTCATTTCCTTGCAGACTGCGTAAAAGGGTTTCATCAGGCCGTGTGAAGAGGAAGAGGAGCCCAGAAAGATAGGACGAGCCGTGTCAGCCATCCATCTCAAGGCTCCCCATGGTTTTCTTCGGAATAGACATCAATCAAAGTCGTAAATCTCGTCGTGTGAAGTAGAACAATATGCCGAGTTTGGTAGTTTCAGCCAGTACAAGAACAATCGTGAAAAGGAAAGGAAAACAATTTTGATCTTTGGCAATGAATGTGGTGTTTGGAGGGCTTTTATGTTCGAAGGCTGGAGCCACAAGGCTTTTGTGGGCAAAAAGTGACTCGGGAGCCCATGTGGCCTTGGTTCCCGACCAGTCAAGAATGTGCAGAAATCTGACAAGAAACGTGGGGGGTTATCGCCGTCTCTGGGTGATAGTCGATCGAGCTCTGTTCAAAGGGGCGGCATCGTAGCTTGGGGGTCCTGAGACGGATCCTTCACGGATCGTCTTTCTCCTCTTCAAGTCAATGTCTCCACCTGGTCCTCTACTGGAAGGTCTGTCATCTTCGTCATCCCTTCCGCGCTTGTTGCTCGCAGGAACACCGTTCATGACAGGTTGTTGGGCTGCATAGCCGTTCGGTATCGAATTGCTCATGTCCGATTGAGGCGCATAAACATCACCTCCAGTACTGCCATTTGCGGTTCCACGCTCACTGCTCATTACATTATACAGATTACTGGAAGGTGGCTGGGCTCGTGGAGGTGTGTTGTACCCTTGTTGTTGGGTGTAGTATGGCTGAGGAGCAGACGCCGTTCTTGGCGTTGCTCGTCCAGATGCTGGGTGGTTGGGGGACCCAGTCATTTCGGGGGAGAGGTGTGCATGTTCTCCAGGCAAGGCTCCAACTGCTGGTCCGTTGGAGTAGCTGTATGATCCTCGGTTCGAATCATAATTTGTAGGGTTGCCATGGGTGTACTCTGACTCGTGCTCATGGTCTGCTTCATCTTCAGCCTGGCTGTGACCAACCTGACCTTGAGGTTGATTGTGGTGGATCATACCGTTTTGGCTATCTTTGGGATCATGATGCTCTGCTTCAGATCCTGGAGCTCTTGCAGTTGGGGGACCCATTTCGTTCTTGATGTACGAACTTGGCTGCGAGTAGCGGATGTTTTGCTGATCAGGCGCAGATTGAGGGTACGAGTTTTGCTGAGGTGGAGGCGCGGAGTACATCTGCCTCGAAGTATCGTATGGCTGTTGCGAGCTCTGCTGGTATTGTTGCATGCTCTGGATTGTGGTTCCAGGTGGGGTCGTCGCTGGAGTAGTAGGCATTGAGCGTGCGTTACTTAAACCCGTGTCAATAGACAGGGGATTTGTACCTTGAACACTCCCCATCGACCCTGGAGCTCCCCAATTGAAGTTTCCATCCGAGCTACCCATGTTCCCCATCACACTAGATGCGCTTGTTGGCGGAGTTGGGAAAGTGTGTGCCCGGTCGATCCCTGGCCGTCCCACACTCGGATGAGGTGCAATTGAGTGCTGGGGACCTGGCAAAGGACCACCAATTGAGTTATTCATTGAGTGGTGGTGGTGTTGGTGAAGAGATGGGAGACCAGGAGCTTGGGTGTTTCTCATCTGGTTCTGCTCCTGCTTTCGTCTCTCTGCGGCTGCCATTACCGCGTTTGTACGGGTCTGGTTTGTGGGATGATACAGAAGAGCGCCAATGTTATGGACAAATAGAGGGTACAATAACTCCGTAATTTTCTCCTTGTTTGCAAAGTCAAGTGCGCGCTCGAATGGAATCCTGTTTACCGTTAGCTCGGCTAAATGTTTCACTTCCTCCAGTGCTCACCAAACGCCTTTCAAATGCATTGGGCCAATTTTGACCACATGTCTCATCTTTTCACTCTTCAAAATGCCATCTCTGCGGCCTCGCGTCATTCCAGCCACGTTCAACAGTTTTGTGCCATTGATCATGTGGTTGTCTGCCGTTTGTTAGCTTGCTATTGGTCAACTTCAAATGCTACAACATACCCTCGCGTCTGGCAACGCACACTCCTTTTGCCTCAACTTGAAAGCAGAGGCTGCCTTCATCTTCCCATAACGTAGCGGTGACTCTTGGCTTCATTCCGGGAGGAGCCACTTGCCCAGTGGTATCAAAACCTGGCTGGGTACCTCCATAACCAGGGCCTGGCATAGGTTGTGCCGCGGACATTGCTGGCAATGGCAACACATTACCCTGCTGGCTCATTGAGCCTGGAACTTGATGGCCAGCTGATTGGGGCGATGTCAGCCCATTTTGGTAGCCACCATATTGGTTGTAGGGTCCTGGCGCAGGAGAATACTGTGCTGGGCCTGGCTGCAACAGCGGTGGCTGCTGGTGCTGTTGGGGATAGTGGCCCATGTTGCCTGACGTGACAGTCTGTGGTGGTGGCGGTTGACCAGCTGACATATGTGAAGGATAATACATCTCCTGAGGGGCGTGGTTCATGTTTGGGTACGAGTCCTGGTTGTATGAGTACGCTGGTCCAGAAGGTGGAGTACTGCTGTACGAAGTCTGTGAGAGGGAGACTGGAAGCCCAGTATTGCTGGGAATTGTTGGAGATGGGGTTTTAGGCCCGTTTGAAGAAGAAGCGGTGGTGTATGAGGAGTGAGAACTGCCGTTTAAGATCGATGAAGACCCAAGAGATCCAAGTGAACCAACCCGGGGTGACGATGTACCGGACGAGTATGCCTGTTGCGGCTGTGGCAAAGGCAAAGAGGGCAACCTATCATTCGCATACAGCGGTCGCTGCGCGGCGTGATGATTGTAGTATGGCACGTCTGAAGGTCCCCGGGTTTGCACTTGTGAGATCGACGGGAGATCCAGCTTTTCGGTTTGAAGATTCAAGTCCTTAGAGGACAGGTGACTGACAGACTCAAAAAGGAGCCGTTACGAATGCAACAGAGGCTTTTGGAAGCCTCCGACGTCAATCGCGTGGAGTATGCTGGCTGGGAGCAGGGAATTGGTGGAACAGTGACCAATGATGCAAATTCGCTGCGTATGAGAGAATGATGTCTGGTCATAAAAATCCGTCAAGTCGTTTCTTTTCTCAAGACAAAAAAGAGACTGAGTAGTTGGCAAGAATGCTTTACAACGAGTGCAGATGATGGTGATTGGGGAGGGGGTCGTTTATTTTATCGTGATGAACAATGATGCATAGACGGCAGAATAACTTGACTTCGTGAAAATTGCAGCAAAGACTCGGATACTAGGACGTTTGGCTCGTAGACGGTCGTTAAGAGAGACTTGGTAAACAAAGTCTGACAATCCAATTGCAGATGCGACTGTAGCTCCACGACAGGATGGGATGAATTGGTTGAGTGTTACGCGAAGCTGCAGGTATGCTTGTGCTGATTGTCGCTTCGAACGTCTGATCTGATTGATCCGTGCTTCTGAATATTCGAGAGTGCAAAAGTTTCGTGGAAGGGTCGTTTCGTCAAGCTCGTGATGGTCGTTACTGCAGGTTGGGGATATGCAGGCCGGAACAGGTGGAGCGTTTTGTGGTTGTTGGTTGCGTAAGGTGAGAGAGTTGCTGTATGTACGGCGAGGAATTGAAGACTTTGACCACCTCTAATGCAGGTACAACAGTCAGCGCTGGCTGCAGGAAAAGCTGAGGATACAATGGGAAGAAAGGGACCTGGGAGAAACAAAGAGGGGACCGCTGCAAGTGGGAGTTCCAGAGCACAGAGCACATACCTTTTTGCGATTCCGAGACCTCCAACCTAGGAAAAACAGAGAGGTCGGGAAAGCAGGAGATAGGAAGGGAGGATGTGGATCTCCAATCTGGCGCGAGAGGGGGGGAGAGGAGAGGAGGAGGTTGGGTGGTTAGGAACGAAGGTAAGTGCTCTTCGTAAGAGGTAGAGAAGTAGAGAGATAGAGAAGGAGGAGGAGGGTGAGAGGAGGAAGTTCGCGGTCCAGGTCAAGCCAGGAAAGAAAACGGTCAGGATAAGAGCAGAGACAGCAGTTGCAGCAGCCAGTGCGGTGCGGTGCGGTGCAGTGCAGTGCAGGGCAGGGCAGGGCAGGGCAGGGCAGGGCAGGGCAGGGCAGGGCAGGAGTGGAGTCGCGGTCGATTGGAGGTAGGGCGGGGGTGTGAATAGATGCTGTACCAAGACACCAGAAGCGGTAGGCGAGTTTGCTGGGGTGTATGGGTGGGAGAAGAGGATGGCAGGACTCAGAGAGGAGGACAGTAGTAGCTAGCTAGCGGGCGTGGGTTTGTTGTGGTCGTGGTGGTGGTGTAAATTTACACCTTGTCTGGTGGGCTGGAGGGCTGGAGGGCTGGAGGGCCGGTCTAGCTGGGTAGGGTAGGGTAGGGTATGGTAAGATAGGCACGGGAGGATAGAGTCGTAGGGCCAGGGTAGGAGGGTGGAGGCTGGCTAGGTAAGAAGCAATCGAGATAGGCACCGCAAGAAGAGACGAGACGAGTAGAGTAGTGAGTGAGTGACCTGCTGGCCGTTGTGTTCTGCTCTGCTCTGCTCTGCTCTGCTCTGCTCTGCTCTGCTCTGCTCTGCTCTGCTCTGCTCTGCTCTGCTCTGCTCTGCTCTGCTCTGCTCTGCTCTGCTCTGCTCTGCTCTGCTCTGCTCTGCTCTGTCCTGCTCTGCGCTGGTGCTGGCGGGCAGAAAGACGAGAGTGGAGTGGAGTGGGGTGGAGGCGACTGGGACTGGGACTGGGACTGGGACTGGGACTGGGGACTGGGACCAGGATTGACTGGTGGATGAAGCGGATAGACTGGGATCAGGAGGGCGGGCGGGGAGCCTGGGCCAGTCAGGGAAGAGAGTGGAGACGGACTTCAGCACTGAGCCAGTCAGAGTCAGTGCAAGCCGTCACCTATCGTTGTGAGGACTTCCTTCGAAGGAGGAGGGGGAGGGAGGCTGGGGCCAGAGGCCAGAAGACAGGGGTTAAGCGTTGAGGCACAAAACAATTGAGGGGTGGGAAACAAGCGAGCGAGCGAGACATCTTTTTGGCTGGCCCGGCCTGGCCTAGGCAGCGGGAGGGGAGAGATACGGAGACGAGGAGATGAGAGTGAGAGTGAGAGCGAGGGGGAAATCAGAAGCTTGCGGACGCCTTGTCCGTCCGTCTGTCTATTAATCTATCTATCTATCTGCCAGCCTTCACTGCCTCTCGCTATTCGCTCTTACTGTCGCTTATATGTCTACCTAGTCTTGTCTCTCTCGTTTCTCTCTTCTTCTCCTTCTTCTTCGATTGCGTACATGCCAGCACGTGAAGTTTGCACTGACTAGGTAGAAATGGAAGTAAACGTCCAAACCTAAACGGACCTGGACCTGGAGCTGGGGTGTCTCTTATTCTGCTGACTGACACAGCGCCGCGCCGGGTACGTAAAGAAGAGCGAACACTACAGTAGTGGAGAGCATGTTGTTGAGCAGCCACGGAGTAGGCTTTTCTAGCCTAGCGCTAGAGCTTTTTAGCTGGCCTGCGGATTTAAACGTCAAGATACCGCACTTAGCTGTGTAATTTACAAGTAGCCCGTCCTCTCCCTGTCCCTACCCCCTGTCCCTTCCCTTCCCTTTCCTTGTCCTTGCCCCTGCACTCGCTTAAAGATCAGACCCGCTCTCCCTCTCCCTCCCTTCGCTGTCCGCCGGCGTTTTGATTGACCACACTGACCAGCCTCTTCCCGCCCCTGCTGCTTAAGCGAGGCTCCAGGGTGCACGCTGAGTGGCGGGTTCAATTCTGCGCCGCCGATTGCGATTGAGCCTTGGGCAGGACATGGGTCCTGTGAACGGCCATGGCCGAGAATGGCCATGGGGGCAACAGCTGTTGACTTGATATGGAAGGGATGTTGAGCCATCGGTTGGCGAGGATGGCCTGGATAAATAAATATCTCCAGAAGGTCGGTCTTGGGAGGCCTCGCGAAATGGCCGACACTGTCTCTACCCTACATTATTACCTACTGTCCCGTACTCGGTGAAATAATGTCGTCTTTTTCCTTGGATCTACTCCCGCACTCACTTATCAGTAAGTGCACGCACTGAATCTAGCAGGAGCTGCGATGATCTGATCCGATCTGATCTGCTTGCTCCGAGGGGGCTGGCACTGACAGTACAGTGGCAGGCTGGCAGGGCAGGATGGAACAGACTCAAACAGCGTGAGGAGATCCCTGGGGCTCGGGAAGACAATGCTGAATAACGGCCTGAATAATGGGTGGCTGACGACTGACGGGGCCTTTGTTGAGCACTGATCAGATGCTGGAAAGGCCTGTCATCTGCTTGCACATGGCCTGCCCTTCACGCTGTCTTTGTTTCTCCCGAAGGAAGGTTGAAAGTGAGACCTTTCTCTCAAAGTGGGGTTGTTGCCAAACCTGGGTCTAGAGCCGAGCGGATCAATCGCCTCAATCCGACTTCCTCCCATTTCAACATCGTCTTTCAGATAAATAAGAAAAAGAGCGGTAAATCAGTCTCGGCGACGAAGTGAAAATGACATGATTCAGCAGTGGATATCAGCATGAAAATTGTCTGTCCGGATCTCGGCCTGGGTAGCTCCCTCTAACACTTTAAGAGGAGAATTTCAAAGAGACTAGACACCTAGCAAACTCTTAATCATCTAGTTCCCAACCACCTGCCCACTCGGATTTGCTCATGAAAGTGCAAGCCATAAGCCACCGAGATCGTGGGCATCTCTGACACCAGGAAACCCCCCGCACTACCACGGTGCTGAGACTGGCTATCTTCATCATGCCTTGCTGCTGTGCAAGTCCTTGAACCGCGGTGTCTGTTATGTAAATTTACACATGCACGTCGTCCGGTCTTGATTCGATCCTGAACCGCCCGCGTTTAGGAGGATTAAGCAGTCGGTGCTTTTGGCTTCGGCGCCAAACCAGCATTACATGAACGCAAGCCTTCGTGTAAACTTCCATGCTCGACCGGTTTTCGTTTGGATGTCACAAGCCGCATTTAAGAAACGGGTTCTGGCCATCGCGGATCTGATCCTGAAGCAGCTTGGTTGGTACACTACTATTATCCATCAAAACGTCCATATTCTCGTGCTTCTGTGTACCTTTGCTTGTCCGATTAGTAGTCATGAAACGGTGATGTAATATCTTCCACTACAGAATGTTTCTTGGGGCTCAAGTGATGGTTCACTACGGCCATGCGAGTTGCCGTCTGGATATGCAGTTGTCTCGCCACCAGTACCTGGTGGTGCTGAAAGGCTTTGCTTGGATCCGACCTAGAGTGCCATGCTCCGCCCAGGAAGATTCCCCGTCCCGTGTGCAGGAACATGCTCTGTTGATGCTAGATTAAGATACACTTCTCGATTTCTCCAAGGGATCAGACCTTTCAGGTGCAGAACCACATGTAAATAGCAGCAGGTACAGTCCGTTCTGCGGTCTGTGAGTCCTTCAAGTCTCTTGAATCATTGGCGATCAGGAAGGGATGGTAAACAGCAGACGCAAAGCAGGAAGATCCCGCGTGCATTACAGTCGCAGTGCAGTTTGC